GGACTTAAAATGCTTTCTTTATTTCAAATTATCATACTAAATAGTATAGCGATATAAATTTTAAATATTTATTTTTGAGTTATATCGAGGCTAATTTTACATGTACCAGTTTTATAAGAGCTGCGAATCTATTAACTATTACCTCTCTCCTTGGTTTGTTAATGTTCCTATACGTGGACCGCGACAATCATAATGTAAAATTGAAAATTTATTCTTTAAATGGTAATTACAATTATTCCTTGAGATAGGCAGTTCTATATTAAATGGCATTTAAATTTAAAGAAAACCTTAGGTCTCACGAATCTTAGAGTTACTCCGATAAAAATTTCATTGTCTGCAACTTGAGTAACCGTATAATAAGCAGATTGGACAGGCAGACTCAAGTGCAACGGGACAAAAACCGTGAAATTTCTTTAGTCTCAATTAGAAACTTGACTTTATGCGTTTAAGTGCTCCGCGCAATGCGGCACGACTTTAGCACAATAAATTAAATCCCAACTGCGCATATGTGTAAAAATAAGATATTTACCACCAAGATCGTTAATCCCGTGACGAGGGCTCTTCACCGCTTTAACGCGATACTTTCGGACGTGCATTTGAAATTTATCGCGACGCGCGTAACAAGAGATAAGAAACTGGAAAGCTCGTCCATCGATATGAACGTTAACGAACTCCAAGCGAATACGCGAGCCATCCCGATTTATCCTTTACTTTGCTAAGAGTCGAAATTCCTTTGGCTCACACCCGAATAGTCACTATAAGTGCTCTTAGCAGCTGGCGTGATTAATCCCTCGGCTTTTCAAGTCTCATGCTAATCATTGGAAGAAAGAGGCGATTTCGATCGATGGCTTGGCCGATACTTTCAACGATTAGTAATTCGCTCCTTATGCGAAAAATTTTCTCATTCTGTCGTTTTGGTGTCGTTTTGGTGTCGTTTTGGTGTCGTTTTGGTGTCGTTTTGGTGTAACGCGCAAGCTGCTTCGATTTTTAGACAAATTAATGCTTATCGAGATAATCGTCCCTTCGTATCATTAACTTCTAGGATGTTTAAGACTCTGTGATTTTTTTTTTCTTTTGGGAATGTACGAAATAATTTTTTCACAATAAATATGCCGCTGTAAATCTCTACTCGCGCGATCAATTTTATGATAAATAATGCTTAGTGTCGCGCTCCATGCGAATCGAGCAACGCAAGCAGTTAAACAGTTTCACTATTCGCTAAAATATTCTACCGATATTTTCATGTAATTAAAATTGAGAATTGATTTCATCCGATAACTTCTTGACAATACTATAAAAATATTATTTTTGCATTAAATCGAAGAATTATGTTCTATTCTCAATGTGTATTTTGTAAGAAGAAAAAAAGGAAAACAAAACCTAATTCCTACGAAAATCTTATTTATAATGAAATTGCTCACTATAGATTAATTTAATAACACATTGATCGAAATAAAAATATCGATCAAGTGAATGTGCATAAACTAGTCTTAAATCCAACGATTTGCTTTTTAATTTGAGTCTGCGTATGATTCGTGTCACCTGCTTCAAAAAGGAAAAAATTTTTATTATTTTTTGTACAACGATACTATAATCTGTAATAATAACCAAAACAAAGATTCATCTTTTATTGAAGCTAGAACAAAAAAAAAAAAAAGAAAAAACGGTAAACAGGAAAGAACTTACTCTTTACTTATACGGTCGAGATTTTTTAATCGCTACTTTATAATGCGATAATGTAAGGTATTATTAAACTAATTAATTAAACCTTATCTTAAATTAGTAAATGGAAGGAATAAAATTAAGGAAATTTGTAAATCTTATAAAAGTGGAACAGTAAAGATAAAATATTTGTTATGCCCCGTGGCATCTATAGATTGAAGAAATTAATGTTTATACGTTTTCCATGAATTAATAAATAATAAAAATTATAAGCTGTTAAAAAGGACTATATAAATAAATATTCCTTTTAACGATTCCAGTATTATTAAGGCTAAGGATTTTAAAAAAATAATTCGACTCGTATGATGAAAGTTTCGCGAAACATTCCTTACAACAATGTCTTATTTGGCTAAATGAAATCCCAATGAATCTGTTCGGAAATTGTCAATACAATAACTTTATAAACATTGATCAAAGCAAGGTTTAGAAATTTTTCGTTTAGCATTTTTTATTGTACCGTGCCAGCAACACTTAACGAACAAACAGAGCGTAATAAAATCATTCCGTGACGGAATTTCAATTAAAAATTTATTTGTATTAATAGAAATTGTTGCTCCAATGTAACATCAAATAAATAATGAAATAATGCGAGCAATATCGACACTAGGAAGAACTATAAAATAAAGCATTGAGTAAGTATTTATTGAGCCAAAGTCATAAATTTAACGGAGTGTTCGTTTCAACGTACACGTGCTAGTGAGACTACACGTTTCGCCATGACGACTATTTATGTTAACTGCACTCAGGCTGGTAATGCATCGTGTAATATTTTCTACCCTTTTCCGATGAATTGAAACATTATAAAGGATTTATCAGACGGCAGTGAAGTAGGTAATATTCATTCAAGGATTGAGGTTTATAATTGAAACGGGCGTATTGATATAAGATGAGAAAGCTTTATAAACGTCAATTCTGTTGATAAACATGTAAAACAATGAAGAAGAAAATTGGAAGACGAAGAAAATATCAATAATTAAAAATTACATCTTGAACAGGACGATGATTTATAAGCGCGGAAAAAGGTCATTATCTAATTGGAAACAATCCTCAGACGGTGGCAAGATTATTTATACTCTTGCCATTCGAAAATCACAGTAAGTATTGGTTATTGCATTATTGGCATACGATATTCAACGCAAAGCTTGCACAATGCGCAAATTGGTTATTAATATAAAGTGAAAGAGCTCGCGTCAGCTCCCATGTAATTTCCAAGTCCAAGTATGTTTCTCGGTTTTAAAAAAAAATTCTAATCTTAATTAAAAAGTTTCTCCCAAGTAGTGTACATACTACTAGTGTATCGATCATCGGCACGCGATCTATCGTGCCGACTGTATATTAATAATCGTCTATTAATTAAAATAATTAGCAGCCCGAATCGTGTCAAAATTCAAATCCATCGACTGCCCGTAATTTAGCATTATCCCATCCCATATATTTCTTCTTTCGCTCGCGGGCAAATATATCAATCAACGTCAACTTAGCACATTATTGGCATTCTAGAAAGGAAAAAATTTATCCCTTTTCCTAATGGATAATGAAATGTAATTAGTTTTTATCGATTTCGTGGCTGCCTTCCAAAGTCCTCCATTCCATTAACTCAAACCTCTAGCACGAGCGTACGCTATTATGACATTTCCATTATTTATATATTGAATTTCGCGCGATCCCATGTCGCAGAATGCCGTACCGGCATACCCTAGGATGCGCATCGGTGACCTAGGAGGGGCCCCTGAAAGAGAATCAAATCCCCAAAACGTCCAGCAACCCCTCCACCTTCCGCGACAACGGCCGATGGTGGAGAGGAATCGCGGGCCCTCGTTGTTATCAAGGTGCGCGCGCGCATTCCTCTCGCGGCCGCGTTTAAGACGGACTGCTGCTCGGCGCAGTGAAAGGCGGGGAATTCCCGCCGCGGGCACCTGCCTGCCGGCTTTTATAAATCATTGCATTGCTTTCTAAGGCATGAGTGGTGCGTCCGAGGTAGATCGTCGACTGCCAAGGCTTGATGTGGTGGGGTGATGGCGCGGATGGATAAGCGCGATCATGGATAATCGAGCGCGGCTACGAGAAGAAAAAAATGAAGATATCGGGAGAGCAGAAGCCGCGAGGAGAGCGAGGCCTCGGCGAAAGGTGGACTCGGCGAGTTGGCGAGTCGTGCGCACGGGCGAACCTCCGCGCCGGCCGACTCCCGGTCGGTGGGACTTTCGTCCGTTTGCAAGGCTTGCCGGTCAACGGGGAGGGCTAAGCCTGGGAGGCGACAGTACGCGTGCCCCTGCTACCTCGTCCATCTCGGCGCTCTGTTACCCGACCGATCGATCCCGCCAATTGATGCCGATGCACCGGCTACTTGCACCCGTCTCTCCGACTGCCGCTCGCAGTCCCCCGAAAGCAGCCATTGAGGTTCTAAAGGCGAATGTAAGGCCGATGATGATCGGGGCCAACGAGACGCCGGGCCTATCATACAAATTGCCATTTTCTTCACAAATTAAATTTTCTAATTATAAGTGGAAAGTGTGCCTTTAGCTATAACTACAGCGGCTTTACAAGGCCTCGTATTATGCATTGAAAAACTGTACAATCATCGATCAATGTTTTTGTACGAATGTCAATGTAATATCGATAAGTGTATAACACACGCATGCACACACGCGCACACGCACACGCGCACAGGCACACACATTTATATTGAGAGAGAGAGAGAGAGAGAGAGAGAGAGAGAGAAGATAATGTGTAGATTCATTATTAATAAAAGCATTTCAAGTATTTCAAATATGAAAATACTAATTAACCTATCAAATTATAATTGAAGGCTCATGATAAATGCAAATAGTGGATATATAAAATGCCATATACTCCTCAGTTTTACATTTTTATACATTATTATTATTATTACCGCTTGGTAATTAATATTCCAGACATCGTTTCCTCCAATCATATATCCACATTAATACTCTCCAAATACTCATCTTATTATAAACAATATATAATTATATAATGTACATAATATATTTGTAACGGCAAAGCAACGCTGCGCAAAAACATGTTTACACAAGCAATTGAATACAACACACGATATGTACCATAAATCATTCATCAAAACAGTGTTAAGCGCATTGTAAAATGTTATTTCGATTATGCCGTTCGGGAAGGGAAGGCGACGGAAGAGAATAGTGCAACAACGTTCCTTGGGACAAAAAGTGCCTTCCTTTAAGACTAAAATAACAATTAATAAATCAACGAGTAAGCACCAAGATCTTGCGACAGAGCGATCGCTCGTCTGCGTAATTATCAATTGCCTCTTATTAATTTTATTAAATATCATCCAAGTGTAGAAGGGGGATATCCAAGTACATGCACGTAGCCGTCACGCGTTCGACGAGTGTCTAACCCCTGGTGGCTGATAAAAATGTAACAAACAACGAAGCCGGGATACGAACGTCTTATTTCTTCTGCAAAGTCCGCGTCGCGATCTCCTCGTTCGCGCTTAGCTTTCACCTCCGGATCAGCATCGGAAGCGACCAGGCCTTTACAATCACGAAGAGGCAAACACAATCAGCGAGATTAAGTGTGAAATTTACGTTCGCGATCTACGGCTGAGACAAGCGTGTAAAGGTAACGACTCTTTACGTACCGCTTGAACTGCCGAACAATCGCTTGCTCGCTCTCTTTCTAGTTCTCTCTCGGTCTCCTCCGCCATCGCCGCCTCTTCCACCTCTTTCTCCCCTTCTCACCCCCCCCCCTCTCTCTTTCACTTGGATGCTATGTGATTGCCTGTAAGTAGTGTTGTAAGTCATACTTTTATTTATATCGATGCCGGGTTTAATTGTTCGCAACGCAAACTTAATGATTAAACGTAATGAATTAAACTTTAGCGATCGGTACGCTTAAGTATTAAACACTTCAATGTGAGAATCGTCTAGTATTTTCGATAAATTCATGCTTTGCAAACTTGATAATGAAATTAAGCCAAACTTATTAAAATCTATATATTGTTTTTTTATATGACGAGTGCTCTTGCATTGTATCACAAAATATATTGTTTTAGAGGAATTGACGATCAAACGCATATTCTTGTTTACCAATAAATGAGTTTTATTGCAATGTTATTCGGTTTGTATTTCAGTTTCATCCGCTCACTATAAAGAATATAAATATAATATACACGTTTATTATACGATGTAATATAATATACGATTAATTCGATAAATATAATCTTTCATAAAAAATTAAATATTTTACTTTGAAGCTAAATGTTAGAAAAGCCGTCGCTGATATGTTCGCGTAAAGGAGTTAATTCGTAAAGCTTGAAAAGTGTCAATTTATAAAAGAAAATAATGTTATCGTTCTCTCCACCCACCCACCCCACCCGCCTTCTTTTTTTTTTACAATGAACGCTCATTATCCTTATCTTGGTATATAGTTAATACGTAAATTGATTAAATATTCATATTCTTATTAATGTGATGTTAATGTATTTTAATGTAATTATCAATAAGTAAATCAAGTCCAAATGTTGCTATTTTAATAATATTGTCTGGAATCAGACTGAAAACCTCCGTTGGATGGTCGGTGGAGGTGTTGCTGGCAAGTGGAAGGGGCAATGCAATGAATTCAATACTGTATGCAGGGTCTCTTGTCTTTCCTTTAATTAAAAAATATAATAATATAATAAATAGTTAATGATCATAAAGTGTATGAATGAAGGTGTGAGCGAATAATTAATTAGGGGAAGTTTCTTCAATTGGTTTACGTGCTTAGGAGAGTGTGTGTACTCTCCGTGCGTGATGCGAGGAGTGACTCCTACCCTGCCGAGAAGTGCCGCTGCTATTATCGCGTATAAGCGAGACGGGGTCGCTGCTGCTTTAGAGTAGGTGCGTAAGAGATGCCGATGTCGTATCGAAGCTTTCTAAAGGTGACCGATTTGCTGCTGCCTTAGTCGTCGGTGTTATCCGTTAATATATGTTGTTTCATTTCCATAGTTTCACTCTCAATTATGTTAGCACTAGCGCTTTATTAGTTTAAGCTTAATTAACGGATTCTGAGAATGTGGCGTCACTATTGGATTGTTAGATTGTTTATTGTTTGAGTATTAGATACGCGTATAACTACAGTGAGTGATGACTGTAGCTTGAAGAGTGAATGGTGAGCTCGTCGTGTTGACTGCGTAATCGTTATTACGCTAGACTGAGACAAAGACTGAGCGCTACGGGGCAAACGCAGCCCTTAAGTATTCTCGTGGTAGTTTTTTGGCGCCGGTAGCGTTCCGGTGTCTGTCGCAATGCCGATAATTCTCGTGACGTCAATAAGGCATAGTTTTTTGGTAGGTTCATTGTTATAATTCTTCGGAATTATAGTCGTATATTCGGATTTTTGGCGTAGAAACATTATTCGAGTTCGTTGGCTAGTTTTATAAACAACTGTTCGCGCGCTCATACCTTTCCCACTTTTCTATTCCGCTTTCAACTATTTCATAAAATTTAAATATTAAAATTAAATATTCATAAAAAATATATAGATAAAAATTTTTGTCTAAATTTTTCTAACAACAAATCATGGATATTCCATTATTATACTTTTATCATTTGAATAATACGTTCGATTATAATTCACATTTATAAGAATATTTTTAAATAATTTTTATAATTATCTAATACAATTAGACTATTGGACTATTGCATTTTTATGATTCTATATAAAAAGTATATAGTTAAATGTATATAAATAAAAGGGGGGGGGGAGAGAGTGGAGAGGGGAAATGTAAATAGATTAAGATTTCATTCGAATTCATATTTTATTTTGAAATTGAAAAAACGTAGAGAAAATAAATTTTAAAATGATTTATTATTGAAAATGTTAATGTTTCTTGTAATTTCAAAATCACATGGGACCATCGATTGTAATATTATTTTGTATGATACGAAGGTCAAGAGCTTCAATAAACGATTAAAGTAATTGAAAGATGGATAAGCAACATCGTCCCAACCAAGTAACAACAGAGTACAAGAGATATCCATTGCCAAAAAAAGTGGATGAGTCAAAGGTTGCAATCGTCTCGGCAATGAGCACCACCGACGTCATAATATCCACAACGAAATTGGAAGTCAAGAATGATTTTGAAAAAGGCAAAGACAATAATAATGATCTGATTAAAGAAAATCAGCAACGCACAGTCGAGAAAGTAGCCCCACAGATTGAGAAGCCAAAAAAGATTCCAGTTATCGAACAATCAGTAAGATAAAATTTTTATTATATGCTAATATCAATGTATATTATGAATTTTGTGGCGTAAGGATTTAAAATACTCTAATACTTTGGTATAAAAACATTCCTCTTTCAATAAATTTGTTGAAATTTTGAGATTTTAATAAGAGACAAAATATAATAATTAAAACATAATTGGTTAGTGTTAATTGGAGTAGGCATATTGGTAATTAATTATGTAAAATAAAGACTATGCATTTATGTATTAAAGAAAATCCATTTATGAATGGTAAATTGAAATACTTTCGTTATGAAAAACGAAGAATATTCATATCATATAGTAATATAAATTTATAATTTTATTTATTTAAAATTTATAATTTTCAGCATTTCAATTAATAACAATAGCATTATATTTTATGTTTTAAACATTTTTTTCGACATCTGCTCAAAGATAATATTACCGTAAATAGATTTGTGAAAGATATAAAGTTATCATTAAAAATAAAGCTAAAACATCCTTCAATATTATTCGTTTTTAATCATATGATTTTATAGGTAATATATGAAAGTAATTTTAACGTATGTTCGTGAAAATAATTTGCTTTATCTATGATATGAAAAAAAAAAAAAAAAAAAAAAAAAAAAAAAAAAATCCAAAATAGAATCGCGAAAAATTAATAAATAATATACGAAACTTTTGATTGCTGGTTACTTAGTGTATGTGCTTATTAAAATTAAATTAATCTGGGACAATGTAATTTACGATATTTCTAAATTATGTAATTATGACATAATCTATTTATAAAGCTTATCTTCAATATTATAACGGGTAAATCTATTTTTTGGTTAAAGTTTTAGCTGATGTATCAAATCAATAATCAATCAAAGATTAAAACTGTATAAATGGATTTCTTTTATTGTACGTACTATGGCGATAAACAATTAAAAATATTAATAAAAGAAAAAAATAATACGTAATATATTTAATTATCAAATTCATAAATGTTCCGGTTGCTATATTCCATAAGAGAAGAAGAAACTGTACTGACACGCAATTTAATAATGAATTATCCTTAAAAGTATATTAATAATAAAATATTATTAATAGACTGCACACAACGATCTTTTTAAAAAAATTTTACATACGTGTTAAACGTATGTAAAATATGTAATTTATGTTGGATATAAATTCAATTAATATGATTAAAAATGTTAAATAAAAATAAAAAACTGTTAAATAAAATATTTACATCACGTTTGGATAAAGATAACACGTAATATAAAAAATGGTACACTTTTGATAGGAAAAATCAATATTTTATTTAATTATTTAATTTTGTAAGATTAATTAAATCATCCGTCTAGAAGCAAAAGATTATGCGGATAGAAATGTCTCTCTGTGTTTTTCGAATTTTACATTCTTATTGTAAGTAGACTATATATAAGATTATATTAATGTTAAAAATATTTAAAAATTAAAAATATAAAATATTGAATGTTATAAATTTAAGTTATCGCTTTCAAATATTTGAAAAAAGAAACGAAAAATATCAGTTACAAATAAATACAATACGAAAATTCATTTACTTTTGTTATTATTCTAACACATAATGCTACAGATATTCGCTTCCGACATAGATTAGTTTGATGGAAGTACGTAGAAAAGTGATTAATTTTTCAAGATAATATCTCCATCGCGTCTCTATCGAACATTGTCATAAAAAAAGAAATTTATTTTAATAATTTATTCTAATGTAACATATTAGAATGTGAATCGAGCAATAGTAATCATTGTAATTGTCGTCATAATTGTAGGTACATAAATTTTGTAAAAAAAATTTTAACCTCGTTAAAGTACCAAAGAAATATTTGCACAATTCTAATATAAATATGTGTATGTGCGCGCGCGCGTGTGTGTATAAAACGGCCATCGCACTATATAAAATAATTTAATAAATAATGTATTTACAATCAATATTGCTGATTATGTCAAGGGATAGAATTTTTTATTAAAAAAATTTGAATAATTACTAAAACAGTTTTCGTAACACTTCGGCAATCGAAAATTAAGTTTTACACATTCCAATATAAGAATAATTATTATGAAATTTCATTAAATTTTATTGTTTATAAGCATCTTACCAACCACCGCTCCAACAAAAGTCTTATGCTTTTAATTAAAATTTCTTTTTACTCTCCAGCCGTAGTAAAGAATCTTCTTTTTTTTTTTTTTTTTTTTTTTTTTTTTTTTTTTTTTTTGATTTGTAAACTTCGAAGAGAACGAAAAATAACGGCCTCTCTCGAAACTTTCGTACTTTTGAACGTCGATCCTAATAGGCTCCATCTAACCCAATATATTCATGCTCAAACATTATAAACGCCCCGTGACAACAATTCTTCTCGAGTATTTTAAATTAATCTATATTTAATGGTTTTCCGAAAACAATTCCACAGCAATTTCACAGACACCCACACGCAGACTTTACAACTTCGTCGATCCACGACGTTTCAGGCCTTTTTCAATATAATTATGCTTTGTAAATGTCCACACATTGCTCATCGCTCTCGCTATTTTTTTATTTGCACATACATCATTATCCGCCCTCTAAGGCTCTTTACCTCCCTATATTTCTCACCATCGCAACACTCGTTCATTTAGCTTTTTTTACTTTCACCAAGCAATGTTTAGAAGCGGCTTCCTGGTAATTTAGATCAATATGGTAGGGATCTTTAGCTAATAGTATTATATAGTTTCTCTATAGATGTCATCACTGTCATTCGAGCGTAGGTGAAGCGACTGGCCAAGCAAGAGTTACACATCTCATCTCTGTTGATAGTTGTTTTATGTAAAGGAAACTTACTATCCAGAGTCCAGACGGTTTTATCCTTTGAATATTATAAATGAATACATCACAGGCAAGTTTATAAGCATAAGATTTATCGGTTGCATCCGCAAATCGATTAGAATCGTTGTAATGCATATTTATATAAACATGCATATTTATATAAACATGCATATTTATATACGCATACATATTCATATATATATATATATATATATATATTTATTTATTTATTTCATAAAACGCACGCACACGAGCACATGACATACGTTTCGAAATATCACGAGAATCGATCGTTGATTTCAATCTCAGGATAGATTAATCGTTCTTCTAATATGATTTTATAAAATAATTGAAATTGCGCGATTTGTCGAAAATTGTAATATTATGTAAAATAGAAGTAAACAGGAGGTAAAAGTCTGCAAATTACTCTAAGGAAATAACACGAAAAACGATATATATATATATATATGTGTGTGTGTGTGTGTGTGTGTGTATAAGAGATTTTCTTTTAATGAGCAAATTTTTTTTTCTTTCAATATAATGGTATAGAAATAATTTTTCTTTCTTTTTGTTGTTGCCATTTTAACGCTTAAATTTAGTAATAATAACAATAAGACGTCTCGGATGTTGATAAGACGCCCGTAATAGCACTGAAAAAGAAAAGAAAGAAAATTGATTTCGATCCTGAACAAAAGGGAAAAATGCCTCCTCCAAAGTAACTGCTGACGTGCACAAGGGGAGAGATAGTCAAGGTATCACCGGCATCACGTGGCCGTCAACATTCACTTTTCCGAAATGTCATTCAACAAAATATTCGACTTGTCTAGGTGAAGTACGAGCCAGTAAGGACAGCGGTTCCTCGCACGCGACCACCAATGCCGACTCCCGACCTCGAGGGTCGTCCCGTGGTATTGGCGACTCATCTGGTGCCATCGTTGCCGATAGGCCTCTTCGAGGTTCTCGCCGAGGCCATCGAGGCTGCCACTGGCAAGGCAGTGGTTCTCCTTCATGAGTCCAGATACGACCGGCCCGTGGCAAAGGATGTCGCCGATATCGGTATGACAACAACCTTCCGAATTTTCCGATCGTCTACGGCTTTTATGCTATCCGCATAGTATCATCGGCAAGTGATGACTGGCGTCGATCCAAGCGCCCGCGATCAATCACCGATCCTTTCATTATTATAGTCTGAAATTTGTATAAATAACGGATATTGGTCGAAGCGTACAACTCGACGGCATTTATTCAGGGCCGTAGGTACTTTTTTTTGCTGTCTAAGGTCTCTCTCTCTCTCTCTCTCTCTCTCTCTCTCTCTCTCTCTCTCTATCTCGTAAATTAAAAGTATAGCGCTGAAAATCTTTTCCCTGACGCAACGTGTCATTTTATTTCAACTAGTTGGCCGACGCGTATCATTGGCCAAGAATATCCGGTTATGTACGCGATAAGCTTCCAGGAAATAGTTTTATTTTTTTTTGTTCTTTTTTCTGTTGCCCGAGGCTGAAGGGCATTAATAGTTAGTGTGCTCCGACGAACGAGGAAACAAGAATTCTTTAAAACTTATTTACCCTTTACTTTTATGAACGGGCCAATCACGTTGAATGAAAAATACATAAGAACAGTAAAAATAATTAATAAGTATTCTCTCTCTCTCTCTCTCTCTCTCTCTCTCTCTCTAGTCTTTGAACAAAAAATTGTTTAATACTGGATATTGGTTAACATAGTTAATCCTTAATTATTGCCGATAAACAGAATAATAAACAGTCTGGAATCGAAATTAAAATGCCCTGTCTAAATGCTAAAATTACAATAAAGGATATATTACATTTTAATTTTGAGAGAAAGATCAAAGTAACGATATTAAGTAAAAATTATAAACATATATATATATATATATATATATAAACGACCGATACGATAATGTAAAAATAATTATTCATTTTTAAAAAATTAATCCGATAGTCTTATAATTAAATAAAAACATATATAATTTAAATTTTATGATTCATAGCAAATTATAATTGAACGGATATAAACAGGGAAACAGCTAAAACTATGCAGATTTTAATTTAATTAACAGTTTAATTTTTATTAACTTTAAGTTTTATTGAAACGTTTTTTAAATTCGAAACTTAACGCAAGCAATTATGCAAAATCTTTTTCAAGCGCCAAATATTTGTTCGAGTTGAATTTAAACACATTTTGGAGATTTTTAACGTATCGAAATATGAAGCATTAAAACTTTTTCGATGACTTTCAAGTGTTAAAAAATTAAAACAATTATCCATTTTTTAAAAAAGCTTATTTATAATTGATATAAATATTTTTGTACAAAATACAATTATGTAAAAAAAAGAAAAAGAAGAAAAATTGCCGTTAAATTTTTAAATACTTTTTACTTTTTGTGAAATATTATTTTATTACGAAGATTAATTTACTTATTATTAAATTGTACATTTTACAAGCTTACGTGAAATAATTAAAATAAATGCAATTCACTTGATTAACATTGATTAGCACTTATCGCCGCTTATCGTTTTTTCGTAATTTTCTTAATATTATTATATATAGATTGAATTATTCATTCTATTTGTCTTACGTACAGCAATTTTGCCAGCTGGAGAACAGTGGGAAGATGGCAATTTGTTACCCGTAAGCTTTGTTTTTGAACATCGTTTGAACAAAAACTTCTCCCCGGGCGTTTATGCGGACGTTGTTGTTGCAACAGATCGAGCACCCCACGTTGAAGTATAAATCTTATTTTTTAATTAAATTAAACATTTTTGTCCTTAAAAAATTTAATCTGATAATCTTATCTCTAAGAATATAATGGATCTCCGAGGTCATAGATGCGCTTTGCCGGATCGACGAAGAACGATTGGAGCAGCGACATTGCTTTTCAATCATTTAAGAGCTAAAGGGGAAGGGCCTGCCTTCTTTGGAAATACTTTAGGTAATTCAAATCAAATAATAATTAATGAGCCCAATGATGGCGTATATACACAGAATTTTTGCTAGTAACGTAGTAATTGAAATTTTAGATACTTTTGTATCGCGAATATTTAAAAAATTTCAGTTGTTCAGGAAATTAATTTCCATTGTCCGCCACAATAAATTGCCAAAAAAAAAAAAAAAAAAAAAAAAAAAAGGAAAGAAAAAAAAAAAATTTTCACATTATATTAAAAAGAAAAATTCTTTATTATTTAATGTGTTTTATTAATTTTTTTATTTTTCATTACATAATGTAATACATTTCAGATGCACATTCCCAAGTATCAGCATTACAAATGGTGGCTGGAAAACAAGTTGAAGTTTGCATACTCGAATCACCGGTCATACGATTTCACAGAAAATCTTTACCAGGCGTTTATTCTCTACACATTTTGAGCAGTTTAGGTCCACTACCACCATACCCAATTATGGTTAATAAAAATATGTCGAGTAAGTGTTTACTTAAATAATTTTCATTGATTAATTTTATGTCTTATAAAAGTTGTTCAATTAATTAATTAAATAGGACTACGAAGTAAAATTATATTAAGCCTTTCCGACACATTTTCAGCTGCTATTGTTAATAAAATCAAAGAATATTTACTGAAGATTCGTCATGATACCGAATGGATAGAGAAGTTTGCGCCTTATAGTGTTTTAGGTTTTACGGAGTACACTAAAAGTCTCTACGACGTACAAGAAATAAAATCTGTAGCAACCAGTGCTCCATACTATTGAAAGTAAAAAATCTTTCATTAATTAAATAAAATCTTATATTATTTTTGTACATTAATCGAATACGATTCATTATGTTTTGATTTTTAACCATTTAGCTTATAAGAATAACTATTTGTTTAAGCCCAACTTTCTTGTAAAATAAATAACAGACGTTTACTTAACAATAAACCTTTTAATAAGAAAGTGTGTATTTATTTATAATAAACTTACTCAGTGTATTTGAGTAGCAACATCTTTTAAAAATTCATTAATTTACGTTCCAAAGTTCGTTAGCCAATTGTATACACATGTATGTTAAAATTAATTACTCGATACGAGTCACTGACGTTTCTTCAAGGATTTAACATTTCGTTATAAATTTTTACATTGGAACATAATTTCGTTCGTGCAATTTACTCTCCATTTCAATACAAAATTGCTTTCGTTATACCTCCTTATTCGTACGATTGTCCAAATATTACCAAAAATACTACCAAAAATTGGGGGATAACTGGCCCTTTGGTGGTGCTATCGAACCCGTTTTTAATGCATTAGTTAAAAGTTCACCCAATCGACTAATGGGAGCGCTAATAACAGGATCAAAGCTCTTTAATTTCTCATAGTACACGTTATTAAGTATAAGCAACATTTTTGGAAACTGATTTGGATATGTTTTCCACAAATCATTTCCAGTCACTTCGAGAATCGTATAGATTAAAGTAGCACACACATCAGCTATATCACATCTTGGTTCTAAAACAATATAACAATGATACAATCATTAAATTCACCAACCGATGTAATCATTATAATTACAATTATTAATTAAACATCATTATGTTAATGGGCTAATCGAGCAAGTCGTATAGTTAAAAGGAAAAGTGGATACCCGTATTGAGTGTCGTGGCAAGCCATTTCCAAGCATTTCCAAGCCCGTGAGGATGTGATTTATTCATTCCTTGTCGCTGCCTCGTCACCATTATTGAAGCATATAAATACATTATTCCTCCGAGTCTCTTCCAAAATTGCTCAGGCTTTTCTGGTATTCCAGCATCAGTGTATTTACAACCAAGTGATTTGCAATATTCATCCTCCGATTGGTCTTTATTGGGCACGAGAAAGACAGGAATGAAAAATGGACTTTTCTTGCGAAAACGCGCTAAAAGTAGAGCACCAAAGTCTGGCCAATCGTTCCACAATGCAACAGCAATAGCGGCAAATGGAAATGCCAATTCTGGCTTACTCGATATTGTTGTATCACCTTGATCCTATTGACATATCGATGAAACAAAGATTTAACAGAGTTAATAGACATTTAACCTAACAGCCTGCTACCTACCACTATTTTTTGAGCCAAGAGATTTTTAGAATAGGCCTGAGCCTGCGGATTTTGTGAAACACTCGGGCCAGACAAAAATAATCTTAACTTTTCGTACTTGTGTAGCAATTGCTCTCGACTTGTGTGCGAAATTGAATTGATCGTGATATTTAAGCATTTCTGACATTCAAATTTGAATTTTTTCATTGCATCAGATCGTATAAAATCTTGATATGTCGAAGCATAATTTTCTAAAAATTGATGATTATCTATATAAGTTTGTAAAGATCCACAGTCAGGATATTTGGAGATTTCATCTGTTTCTTTTACTGCAATTCATTAAAATTATTAATAATTTAATAATACTAGTAAGATGATAGAATTTTAACGAAAAAATTAATAGATACTATTATCAAAGTTGTTGGTTTATTTTAGTTATTAACCTGGTGCAACTTCGCTCGTTAGAGCCACTGCAGTCACTGAGACTGGAACGTTTGAATAATCTGATAGGTGCGATCCTACGCTAACACTATCTGTTTCGGCTGGTTGCTGATTTTGCTCAGCAAGATTATCTTGTTCGTGATTTATTTTTTGTGGTTCAACGTAAATAAATTGTTCGGACGCTTTTACAGAATTTTCCACATCTTGTAGCTGTTTTGCTCTGAGCATCTCCTCTTGCGCCTTAAGTTCAGCTTGTCTCACTTCCATTTCTCTTCGTGCTATCTCTTCGTTATATAAAGCATCGATTTTATCTATAAATAGACGGTTATTGAAAGTAATAGTCATCGTTAAATTTTATGTTAATAGCACTTTATTAGATTACTACCTATATCAGCTTTAAATAATTGAAAAACTTCATCGTTGTATTGTACTAGAATTTCGGCCATTTTTATATCCGCTGCAGTAAGATCGCCGGTCTATAAGTAAAACATACATTCAAGAGAAACGCATAGTTTATCCTAAACGCATAGTTTAGGAGAAACGCATGTCCTACGTCTGGTTAGGTTAAAAAATGAACTTACCCGCGTCTTCTCATTTATCGATTCCATTTGCAAACTTAATTCTTTTAGTTTAGCTACGTGAGGCGCGAGCAGACGAGAAGCGGAATTTTTATCTCTACAAGCTACGGAAATATTAGCAATATCTTTCCACTTTGCGTGAAAGTTCTCTCGATATGGAATAATTTTTTTTGATATTTCATCGCTCTCCTTTAACCTTTGCCTTTGTTTTTCATTTTTCCTATCTATTTCTAACTGTTGCGCGAGCAGTTCCTCTTCAGCCTCCAAGGCAGCCAATTTTTCCGCCGTCTCTTTTTCACGTTGAATAGCTATTCTCGAAAGCAACTGAGATAAGTCCTCCTTTATTTCCCTCTGTGATTTTTCCATTTCCTTCTTTTTACGATCCACAGCTTTCTGCAACATTCGAAAGAGTATTTTACATTTTCGAACCATAATTTTCCATAACGCTTCAACATTACGCCGACATACTTTAACTTTTTCTCTGCGTTGTATTTCATTCTCTAGTAGAATTTTTTTTATTGAAAATGTTATATTACTTCTTGAAGACAAGCCATTTAAAGATGAATTATTTATTCGTGCCTGATCATCGTTTGGGCTATTAGAATCATGATTATCTTGAGGAACGGCATCAGGACCAAGGGTTACCTTATCAAATTTATCCGATATTTGAGATGCTTTGTTCAATATTGAAATTTTCAAGCAATCGAAGCTTTTTGCGATATCGTTAACATGCTGCGAATTCGTCTGAAATGGCAATTAAATCTTATGAACATAATGTGTACGACAAAGTGACAAACTTTATAACAAGGAACAACATTGCGCCCCTCGCTTACAATAATACGCCTCATTAAATAATAAAACATAATTACCCCTTCGTTAGTACACAATACAACTCTCCTGTTCACCATATTCCTCCTATAATTTTTCCGATCGCTTTCACTAAACATATCACAAATAAATAATACTTGCTCTCCCACTTACAGCATACTATTTAATTATCAACAGTGGAAAATATAACCTCAACGCGCATTCCCTCCTTTGATTTTGGATATCGCATTAACACGCATGCGCATTAAATATGCCCACATAAACGAGATTCGAATATTAATAATCGACACGCGAAGCTTATTATTAAATATCTCGACTTTCAGCCCTAAACATTATGTCCGGAAGGTTCGCGCTGGCGTTTATTGCTTCAGTTAAGAAATCTTACACCGAACATCCCCGACAATTTAACAAGCAAACCTCCCTGACTTCTTTCCATTAAAAGCTCCTTTATTTATTGGACTTGATTGTTTGGCACCAGATGGCTGCATTAATATCCCAATTGTAGATTTCAATTGAAGTTTGGATACTTGGGTGCGTTAATTGTATGTGCTGACAGAGCCAGCCGAGTGGAAAAATCCCCATCCAATTGTGGCAATAAGACACGTCAATTTTGACGTTGCAATGGACGGTCAACTATTGGTGAGTAGTCGTGGTACCTCCAGTGCTTATTTTGTTTGTCAATTGAAGTTGGAAGGTCATTTGTATGACCTCTCGTACGCTCTTTGCCCGCGCGATACGTTGATCATTGGGCAGTGAGGAATCGAGGTTATTCTGCTGCATATTAACGAACATAACCAATAGAAAAAAATGTTTCAAAGCAATACGAAAGATTCGAAGCCATATGTATGATGAATTTACTATAAGAATTTTTTTTGTATTTTACAAAGCTATTTCATTATTTGTATGCTCTTCTGTTTTTGTTGTTGTGTTTATCAATTTAGGAGCCAACGTTGTATACGATCAAAGGTATAAGTATCTTGGATAATGATGGGAACAGGATACTGGCCAAGTATTATGACAAAAATATTTTTCCAACGTCCAAGGAGCAGAAAGCGTTTGAGAAAAATTTGTTTAATAAAACACACAGAACTAATGCGGAAATTATAATGTTAGATGGGCTCACGTGTGTGTATAAAAGTAACGTTGATCTATTTTTTTATGTAATGGGGAGCTCGCACGAGAACGAGGTTTGTACAAAAATTTTTAATTTCCATACCTGAATAAGAGCATCGAAGTATATAATATAATCAACCTCTGTTCTATCCTAGCTGATTTTAATGAGCGTGTTGAATTGTTTATACGAATCTGTAAGCCACATTCTTCGTAAGAACGTTGAAAAGAAGGCAGTATTGGATAGTTTAGATATTGTTATGCTGGCAGTTGATGAAATTTGTGACGGTGGGTACGTAAGCAGATTACATATTTTTAAAGGATTGAAGCATCCGCTTCCAAGTTACAATTTTCTTCGTTTCTTTTTTTAGTAGTTATATTCAATTTTTTCCCATCTCAATTCTTCCTAAGCTATTGGATTAAAATGTCTAGCAATGGTTAGCGTTTTGTGAAACGATGATTTTTATTTTTATTTTAGTATAATTCTCGACGCCGATGCCACCAGTGTTGTTCAAAGAGTAGCCTTGAGGACGGATGACATACCTTTAGGCGAACAGACAGTTGCACAAGTAAAATTTTTTATACCCGCGCAGTAGACGATATGTCTATCGAGCTTACATATTCATTGCATTTAATATAAATTATTTCTATTTTTAGGTTTTACAATCCGCCAAAGAGCAACTGAAATGGTCATTATTAAAATAATTTTACATTTAATTTCTAAAATTTTAATATTTTCATAAAACAAGTATTATGTTTAATTATTTTTTAATTAAGAACTGATAAGATATATGCATTCCAAGATTGCATTATTCTTTCTACATTGGTAAACTTATAAACGTTAATTAGTGACAAAACTATTCTAATTATTATTTTACGAATGACAGTTAATATTTATATCTTGTATAAAAAATCAAATTAGTTTTTAATTAATAAAATATTCCCATTTACTAATGCTATACTTGTGCCTTGACTTTTCAATCCATATTAGTAAATCTTTCCCTTTTTTATTATAAAAATAACTATGTACATATAATGATTATTTATAAACACGTTATAAAGTAATTCAATATTAGTTTTACGACGTTTAGCAGAGATAATAAAAGTTCGAAGTAATTCGGCAGATGGCACTACCGACACATAATTAACAGCAAAAAAGTATCCAACTCTAAAATTCTGTATTTATTTTTATTTTGAAATATTTTCAATAAAGATGAATAAATAACAGAAATCTGTTGATACATTTATATCAGTTATTAAAGAGATTATTCTTGAATAATATTCATTCGATTGAAGTGTCTTCATATTCTTCATTCTCTCTCTCTCTCTCTCTCTCTCTCTCTCTCTTATATTAAAGATTAAAATAACAAAGCTACAAGAAATTCTCACATGCATTGTTCACATGCAATGTCGTAATAAAGAATTTCTGAAATGTATCTGGAATAATAAATTTTTTATAACAAATTTCTGGAAAAGAAATAAAATACAATAAATATTATTAATTTATTATAAATTAGTTACATTTGCATGCTAATATTTAATTGTTTGTACAATGTAAACATATGCGGATACATTTAATTATTTTTCTTGAGTTCTGTGCAAGACTTTTTCAACACATTTCTATAATTAAGTGATTAACAATAAATATATGTACATAGTTCAATTATATATATACATTTTTTTTTTGTATTGAATTTGTTTTATTCCAAAAACTTTATATTCACCTTTTTTATAATACATAATTTAATTCAAAATCAATTTCCGACGCAAATAGTTAAGCAACAGCACAGCTTTTTATATCTTTATATTAATTGTAGATTTTTTTACCGACATATATTTCTTCTTAAAACTGACAGGGAATTATTTTGTGATCATTTAATAAGTCATGCAAATTTTGTAGAAAATCAGGCATATCTTTTATTTGCACAGACTAAAATTAATTTACATTTAAAAGCTCGATTTTACTAGAAATCTAAATCCTTAATGAACTTATTTTAGTGTATGCTTGTAGCATTAACTATAGCATATAATTTCTTCTGTAGACTCTTTGCAATTGTTATACAGAAAAAGTAGTTTTTAGTTGACAATTAATTACTTTCGTTGAAAGTTTTCATTTCAAGATTAAATTATCAGCTCGACAACTTATGGATAATGTCGATAACTTTTATATATTAATTAACTAATTAACTAATCCAATAAATGAAAAGTGCGTCTAAATATATGTTAATTGCGCAATTTATTATTTAGCAATATGGCAATTATAAAATAACATATAAAACTTATTTTTCTTAATCGTATGTTAGTATATAAAATAGTAGAGGAAACCAAAAGTATTAAAATTTGTTTACTTTTACATGTAGTTCCAGGTAAGATTCAATATTATTTTGTATTTCAGATATTTCTAATATAATTACCTCTATATGCCAGAATTATTATCATTGTGAATTATATATAGACTTTGTTAGATATATTATACATAAGCACTTAAGTATGTTGATTTTACTATGAATGGATTAGCATGGATAAAATATTATAAACACTATATATATATATATATATATATATATATATATATATATATAAACTGATAAATACTGGTAGTTTGTTGGTACTTTTCATTGCCTTATGATTGCACCAAATAAGTAATATTTTCATTTAGAAACAAAGTAAATGACAGAGACAGATATATATATATATATATATATATATATATATATATATATTATTACAAATAGTTTTTTTCTTAGTTAAAAAGATCACAAAAAATGCTTGAATTAATTTTCATGGAATTAAACATGAATATGTGTTTTATTGTTTAAATACAGTTTTATATTTATAATTTTCAGATAGTCAAATGTTTAATTATACATATTTATGACAACTTTAAATATTGAAAATATTATAAGATTCTATATACAATTTTAAAGTCAATAAAAAATTTTTTACATTTTATATATTTTTAATTCAAAGATACGATATATTATAACAAATAATTAGCTTATGCATAATATTGTTGATAATTCAACTGTATTTTTCATCATATCATTAATTATATTTTAATTGCCTATTTAAAGACATTTTACATTACATTTGAACTTATTTGACAAGAGATTACGTATTTCTTCTGCAATTTTTACTGTTAGCCAGTTAATTATTTATTCATTACTACCGCTACCTAATAAATCTGATGAAATATCAAATTTGCGAAAAGTATCGTATAACATTGTGCACGAGCATCAATCACTCAATTATATGAATTATAGCTGTAACTGCTTTAATACATGTGTATTTAAACAATTAGATAACCAGACCAGATTGATAAATAATATAGTCAGAAAGTGTTTATTTGCAAGGATGAAATCCTGGCTTATTATTATAAAAAAAAAAAAAAAATCAATCTTAATATTGCCGACTATTAAAATGTGCAAATACTTATAATCCTTTTATCGAGTTAAATAATTAATACTCATGGATAACACTGGACTTCTAAGGAAAATATCAGGACTCGATTGTCGACAACGAGCGACACATTGTCACGTACTTGATTCTTTTTTGCAAAAGTCGAGAGTAAAACTAGTCGTATAATCCCTCGTAAAGTCCACCCTCGTGCGACTCGCGGATAGTAATGGTAGACTGTCGAGTCTTCATCTGCAATGAAGTCAACGCGGACCGACGACGTAAAGGAAGGAAAAAGAAAACACGAAGAAAGTAGGAACTCGCCTGCTTAAAGAATAGATTTGGGTCGCACGCGTCACAGCACTTGGCTCGTCCCCGTGGATCCTTCGTCCCGCGTACCTAGGTATTGACTCTCTTGGGAAATCTCCGCGAGGGATGTTGGTGAGATGAAGGGAGAAAGGATTCGGCGAGAGAGTGAGAGAGGGGAGTGCTTTGGGATCGTTCGCTTATTTGAAGTCATGTGACAACGGAAACCGATTCGATCGCGTGCGTTCGTTGGTTACTGTTTCATTGTCGAGCATGTGTGTTTCGCTCTCTCGGGAAATTTTAAATTTCATTACTGGAAAATCTTCTACCTTGTCCTTTTCTCTTTCATGCTCTTGGCTCTTATTTTTGGCGTGATTTCTTTTGATTTGTTAGGGAGATCGGTGCGATGACCAAAGAATTATAACGTAATGTATCTAACTACTCTCCAGTTATACGTGACATTATATTGTTCTTTTCTTTTCTTTTCTTTTTTTTGTTTTTGTTTTTTTTTTGTTTTTGTTTTTTTTTGTTTTTTTGTTTTTTTTTGTTTCAGTATTCGACACGTGATTTGATTTTGTAATTTACATATAATCATGAAAACGGTAAAATATGCGTGTCAATTTTATTGAATAATGAAGCTGTTCATATTAGTCGATTGTCGTTGTAAAAGGATTTTTGGTGAAAATCCGTACAGTAAGTATTATTTTTCTCCTTTAAATTTTATACAACCAGTCACAAATCGGAGACAAAATCTCTTATTTCAGTTATCATAATTATATATTGTTTTAACATATGTAAATAAAGCTAAAATACCACACATCATTCGCTATAAATGGATAATCAAATATAGAACGAGCAAGTCTTATCTCCTTGAGGAGGGAGGAGTGCATAAATGGCTTAGTAAGGACAGTTTTCGATGACAATGTTGTTCTAATAATGTTCATAAAGAGCAAGGAAATTCAACCTCGATGTAAGATTTTAAATTTTATCGCACGCAAGAGTATCGGACACCTTAACTAGAAAAAGAAAGAAAGACAAAGAAGCGCCCAAGAGCCATTACAATAAATTCTCTTTTTAATTCTAGCCAGATATCGGTCGTTTTCTTTCATTTGCCATGATTTTTTCAAGCGCGTCGACTCGCCAACGTACGTTCGACCGTCCTGGCGGAATGAAAAATACTTGCCTTTCGATCGCAATGGAATTATTGGTCGGCAGGGCTTATTTATTGACTTCATTTTCCCGAAAGTGGCATAGTCGCACCGAAGGGCGGAAACTTAACGTGGGCCGCAGATACGCGCGCGACGAACGAAAGAACGGCGAGACACTTTTTTGTTCGTTTGTTTTGTATTCTTTTTATGTTTTTCGCTAGGTAGAGAGAGAGAGAGAGAGAGAGAGAGAGAAATGGAAGGTGGTCAAGTTTGTCAGTATTGAGCCGAGATTTATAGCTCGTCGCACTACTGGCGCCGTTAATTATTGTGTTTTTCTACTTTTCTGTTGCAAGCTTTTCCTTTTGTCCTTGAAATATTCATCGAGCATTGAATTGGAAAGCGAGATGAACCGGAGTTCATTTTTACAATGTTCCTCTCATTCTAATATATTATAAATCGATGTATGATAAATATATAGGTCACTTACACGTAAAGAGTAATTTCTTTATTATTGCGAGAAGGTAATAAATATTGTATGGTGATTCTTCGCTCAATATGCAACCTTCATATTCTGATATATAATTGAATTATTCATAGAATGTATTTTAATATTAATGATTCTTAGACAATTAATGTATATATGCAGGTAAAACACACCTATGTTTTCATAGTTTATATGAACTAAAATATTCAGTCATGCATTTGTGTAAAAACAATCGTTTAATACTTCTAAATAAAATTAAATTAATGTATTACGTCATAAGAACGTTCAAATATTATAATAAATAATTGTAATTTTTGCTAGAAATATAAAAATATCGATAATTTGTATGTTATATTGATGTATGACTATTTCAAATAATAGTGTGCTTTCGTTAAAATTTTTATTAGCATTTTGTTTATTCACTTGAATTAAAGATAAAACGTAAAACCACTCTATTAAATATAACGATCGTTGCATTTATTATATATGTATATAATATATGTATATATATATATATATATATATATACACGCTCGAACGACATTAATTATGCTTTTGTATAATTTTTGTTCGTATTATTTGAGAAATCAGGTTAATTTTAGTTGTAATTGTAATTCTTTTAAGATTTACAAATTATTCATTTAAAATATTCGTGACTCTTGATAATTATATGATTAAATTATATTATATTTCTACCGAATGCTCTATTTTCTATATATTGTTACGTTGTGATAACAAAGATACAAAAGTAGAAATTAAAAACTTATACGGTTAATTAAACTTATTAAAATTTTAAAGCAATCGATCATCGATAAAATATATAATGTAGATGAATATATTACGATATATTATTGTATTCTTTTACTTTATTTGTAAAAGAAAAACATCAATTGATCATATTGACAAGTTAATCGCGTTTTCTTGTTGTTGGTTTAAAAAAATATCCATATGTATCTAAATATTAGGAAAAGTAATTTGATTTTTTTTCAATGTTTCTTCTCGTTATTGTAAAAATTTTCCACTCACTGCATTTGAAATAATAACTGATAAATTAATCTATCAGAATAAATTATGCGAAAAAAGCGTAAAATTTTAGATAATTTGATTGGATAACATTATAATGGTAATATGAAGAATGGATGTATATTTAATTTAATATGAAATTCCAATATTTTACATTTTTACTTTTATCACAAAAGGAAATTATTTTTATTTTTTTTTTTAAGTAAAGTCTAAAAATGTTGATAGGTTTTGTATAATGTAAGAAATTTTTATTGCGTAGTTTTTAAGTCCGAAAACTGAAAATTCAGAGAAATAATAATAAAAAATAAAAAAAAAATGCTTCTATCGATTAATATTTTTACACGATTAGCATATGCCACTTGTCACATGAAATAATTATATCAGCAATTAATCATTCTCATAAGGTGAATTAATAATAACAATAATAACGATGATAATAACAACAACAGCAACAGCGACAACAACAACAACAACGTAACAACAACGACAACAACAACGACAACGACAACAACGACGACGACAACGACAACGACAACGACAACAACGACGACGACAACAACAACAACAACAACAACAACAACAACAACAACAACAACAACAACAACAATAATAATAATAATAATAACAGAAGAAGAGAAATAAAAATAAAAGAAAAGATGATAAAATGAAATATAACTTTGTTTTGCAATGTGTCAAAACACGAATAAAGATAAATCACACGTGCAAACTGCCAGGCGCACAAATGTCTCTCCCTGATGAAAATTAACGATCAAATGAGCCAATTTAATTCAGGTAATAGACATCGCATTCAACAGCCACATATCGCAAGCAAGCAAATGCCGATGTGAATTATCCCCATCGGGCGCCTGGATCCATTCAAGCGCGATTATCCGAACATGAAAATCGAGAATTTGCTTGAAAAGAACGATTATATATCGACGGGTAGCGTCGATGAAAGCCAGTGATCGCATTTCCCGAGGCACGGAGCCCGACATATGGGGCTGACCACCGTGCGGGGGTGGTCTACAGAAAACAAGGGCGCCATGGTGTTTAATGGATATCCTCCCTCGATCGCCTTTTGCGGCTAATTTTTCCTTGGGCAACGATGGCTTTGTAGCGACCACCTGGTCGCGCGATCTCAGATCACGATCGTTTCCGTGATTTACACTTTCGATGTCCTTTTGATTTACGTTTTTATGGCTCCGAGGTTTCCAGTTGAGTACTTCTTGCACAGCTTTATGCGTGTCCGTTTCGCTCTTTATGATAATTGACAAAATTTCGTTTTGTTTAGTTTTGTTTTTCTCCCATTGCAGTGGATCGAGGCTTTTACGGATCAATCGAGGGATCGCGGAATTACAATCCCCAGCTTTATTAATTTTGTTCAATGGCGCGACTTTATTTATTAAGACGTAAGAATTATGTCCAATTACTTTAAAGAACTTGTTTATAAGCCTGCAGTAAGTACGCGACAATTTATATACTTGGGAAGACTAACGTAAACTCGCTTGACGAGCAACACGAAATATTCATCATACTTTACTCTCTCTCTCTCTCTCTCATCGTTCATTACGAGATTTATTATTTTCTATACAATGACAAATTAAAAATACTCTACACATATTAAGGTAAGATAAGGTAGTTTAAGTTTCTTTTAGCAACACTGTAAGAATAGCAATGGATGGTAGTATTTTTTCTCTTTTTTTCTTCTCACATTCAAGCAAACAAAGTTAAACAACAAATTTAAACTTTAATTAAATTAAATTTTCTTCATTGTAACAATGTTAAATACATAATACACTTTGTTTTATTTCAAAGAGCCCTTTGTTAAATTATACCTTTGTAAGATTATTAAAAGAAAGAAAGAAAGAAAAAAACATGATCTCACATTAGAAGCTGCAATGTTAAATTGGTTTATCCCCGCCACCCCCCACCCGCTAAACCTTCAACATCATCATACCGTTGCACCTTGTTTTCCGCAATTCGCCATAAAATGCGTCATAAAGAACGGTAAGATGCGTCAAGAAATGATGTATCGGAAGTTAACAAAGAGGCTACGAGTTAACGTATGTGGCCTTTGCTCGAGGCTACATTTATTATTTGCCGAGCATAAATACGTTAAGTGTACAAACACATCCCTTTGAGAATGTGTCGAATGAGTATTAGCGACGCAGACTAATAAGAGCATTGCAGGTCTCGGAACCCCATTCCCACACTCCCCCACCTCCCTCTTTCTCACTCACTCACTCTCTCTCTCACTCACTCTCTCTCTCACTCACTCTCTCTCTCTCTCTCTCTCTCTCTCTCTCTCTCTCTCTCTTTCTCTCTGTTCTCGTCAATGATCGGGGCCATAACAAGAGCTCATGGTTTATGACAGTGGATGGCTTTGCGAAATATTTCAGTCCTGGCTTCCGGACATTTCGAAAAAGAAGAGCGTGCAAAAGACTAGACAGATAGTGAGCGAGAGAGAGAGAGAGAGAGAGACAGCGAGGATGACGGAGCTCTTCACTCTTCACTGCTGATGTGGTTTTATGGCGCTTTGGAGGCTGTGGAGAGAAGCCCGAGAGGGAAAGTTTTCCTATAGAGTTTCACGCTGTGCGCGTCAAAGCTGGCGAAATAATATTCGGCGGGAGCTTCGCTCTCTCACTTGGTCATGCCCAAGATGCTTTATTACCGCTGCTGATCGTCACGCACTTTGACGGCCGAGCGCAGGCTTACCGTTGCCCCATTAGGCCAATCATAATTGTCGCTTCTATGGCTGTGAGTCGCTGGAAAGGGGTGAGGTTGCGAATCGACGACGCTCGGCGGAGAGAAAGTTTTCACGGGACTCTTTCTTTCATCCTGACGATTTGTTTATGGCGCGCGCTCATCGTTGCGGAAGCAATTACTCATTTACATGTCAATTCATTTTTATAGTGCGGAAAGTCGAGTGGCTTCCTACGCTCACCAGCAATGCTGGCAAATTATCTCGGCCTACACTTGAATGCGAAATTCGATGCGCCCGGGGCTTCGACGTTCCTTTCGTCTCACTGATTTTCCGAAATTTCCTTGTCCAAATGGAATCTTCCCTCTCCAGATCTCCCCCGTCAAATCCAATTCCAAGTTTCGCATTAGCAACAATAAATCGCAAGAGCATTTAATCTAATGCTATTGCAACCAAGCGAGCTTAATGATCTTCGCATTGTGTGTTCGTATGATTCGTAGCGTTGAGGGTGCCGCGTCGGTGAGCAAAAGAGGAGAACATTCGTCGCGTGTAGGTTATTCGTGGTTTAGGTAATTCAAGTGGTACCGCTTGACCGAGGCCGACCAAGGTGTCGAGGCGAGCGTGGCAGTCGAGCGCAAAACTTTTTTTTTGCCCAGCTCGCGGATCGCGAGGAGGCCCGCGCGCATGCGCCCGGGTCCAGAAACCACCCGCAAGTAGTGTCGGCAAACAGACCCCCATAAATAAGGGGCCCGTTCAAAGCGGGACGGGGTCCCCGGGGGCCTAGACACCAGCCTCTTAGTTACGCCCCCCCGCGGCTGGGGATGGGCCACGTCTTCGTGATGAGCTACCGACTAAATTACGGGGCGGTCTGTGTACTTGGGGCACGACGATACGCGCCCAAGTAAATTACACGACCGGACTATTATACTCTGATGTAGGAGTCGCGTCGGTCGCGGAACATCTTTCCTCCACTCGGCCTATCGATCTATCGATTTATCAATGTCGCCGAGACGTCCAACTTAAATCTTACATCTTGTTCTGCTTTTTGGATTGTTTGTATTGGTCTCAATTCGTAGGACAATTCGCGATTTGCTCATTCATTATAGCGCGACCATTTTAATTACTTCACTCTTAATTACTTTACTTCACCAATGGGAAAACACAAATTCCACGCATTATAATTTTCAAAGGACATTTTAAGACGTTATTTTGTAAAATATATTCTTTTACACATTTAACAATGCGAAATGTGTAAAGAGGCAGTGAAGTTTTAAAGAAAGAATTTTCTGCCGGATTTAATGGGAGTTCAAAGGTCGAAAGACATTGGCTTTCTCTACAAGCTGTGACGTAATATTGAACACTAATTGTGTGGTCGTACCATGTAACGTATAAATGTAACATTTCTCTTGTGTCATTTCTTTTTTTGTTAAATTTTTCGGTAATAACTATTATGAAATTGTCTGGCAATAATCATAGGCATTATCGATAATAGTTGAAAAAATTTATATATGTAGATGAATAGATCGATCTCTAAATGAAATATTTACAAATTAATCCTAGCAATTCAACCTCGTTTATAGCAAAATGCATGACTAATAAATATTTGAATTTCTTATCGACCGTTGTATTTTACATCAATTTCCTATATTAAGAACATATTGTGCGTGAATGCTTGCGCCTGGGCGTGTATGAGTGGGCGTGTTTGTAATATTTTCAATAAATAAAGCTTACGAGCATTGATCTCTGGCGATGATTTGACGAATGAATCGCAAATATGAATAAACGTTTATATATACATCAGGTAAGCCTAAAGCGCATGGGAAAACATAAGAATTGATACCAATTATTTTGCCGTTGATGACCAATGGTCCGCCACTGTCACCCTAGAATTTATAAAAAATATATTATTAAATTATTGTCCCGTTAGAGATTAGTGTTTCCATAATTAATGAGACTATGAATAATGACGAATCGGATAATTCGATTGTTTGATAAAATAATATTTTACCAATTTTTCATGATATATCACAATGACTTGACCAGCATTGTGTATGAAAGTTAAATGCGAGGCCAAAGCATTAAGCCTTTAATTATAATTGACATTTAAGGAAAATATCAGGTAGCATTAGCAAGAATTTGCGCTTATTGAAGTAATTCATAAAGGCTTACCATGCAAGCTCCGATTCCCTTATCTTCGAATCCGCAAAACTGCTCCTTCCGCAAATAATATCGTATATATCGAGAACATTGAACGTATGTGATAATTGACATTGGAGTTTTCTGAAGCTGATCGGAAAGCGAACGCGGTGGATAAAATAGTGCTCCCCATCCGATGAATTCGGCACTCGAGCCATGTTTAACGTCTTCCGTAGGAAGTTCCACCTTATTTTGTACGTCATTAAAGTTGATGAGCTGCCCGAGCTGGAAATAATAGAAATTCTTTTATTGGCAAAGTACTTGCTATTGTCTCTCAGACGTACAAGTTCTTTTTGGAATCAGAGCTCTCTTGTTTACTGTTTTTCTTTTCTTTTTATTTATTTATCCTATTTTTCGCCGGGAGAGGATGTGAAATCTTTCAAATGCTTATGCCGATGAAGTCGATAATCGTGTGAATTTTCAGTGCTTGAATAAAAATAGATTTTTTCACTTTCTTCTTTTGGCCTTTCTTAATTTAATAAAACGTATTTTACTATAAAGCGAAAAATTACTTTAAATTAAAGAAAAAACATTGTTTTTAAATTGACAGTTGGGAAAATTTAATGAAGCAGAAAGAAAATCAATCAATTTATCGTTATTTACGTAATACGTAATATAGTGGTTGGCGACAAAATTGCCGTTCAAACAAATTTGATATATACTTGTGCATGATGTACATCACATACTGATTACATCATTTATTACCTTATTTTTAATATATTGATTATTTATATTTCATCGATTAGTATTGTATAAAGATATTACATATATCAAAATATTGAATGACACGTCCAACGCCGGAATTCAACATCAATTCAATCATGATGTATTCATGATCAATTATTTATTACTAGTACTCTTAATATTTAAGAATTAAACTTAATTTTCAATTTATTAATTAATTTTCGATAGTCCAAATTCAAACTAAAACCTAATCGGTATTATAAAATGAATAATCAAAATCATTAAATTAAATGTTGATAAATAGTGATGGCTAGATTGGCAAAATAAAATGTAAAAACGATTGAAATGTAATTTTATATTTGACTTGCGATATTTCCCAGAAAACTTTCTATGATTGCAAAGGCTAGTCAAAACTTTGTATTTATTCCTTGGAAGGTGATATCAATGTTAAACTAATATTAAGTTTATACTTTTGCATCGCATGCTTCCTAATATGAATAAAAAAAAAACAAAAAAAAAAAAAAAAAAACAATTACGAATTAGATACTAAACCCATTCATTATTCATTCGTTTTCCAGCTACTATGAGCTTTATTAATGTTTTTGCAATTTTTTAATGTGCTAAAGACACTGTAATATGTCTATTATAGCTGATTTCACCAAATTACTCTTCAAATTTTGCATTTAATATTTAACTTACGATGTTTTATATTACATGTAATTTGTGTAATTAACATATGTAATTTGTTGATATTTATTATTTATTTATTATATGGGCAAACTTTAAATGTAAATATATATTTAGATAAATGGAATTTTAGTAACAAATAATGTCAATAGGAAATAAATGCTAAGAAAAGCTTATTCGATTTTATTGAACTATTTCAATGATTTTACTCAATATACTTAGACAAAAGTTTTGATTTAATTAAACTTAAAATTTTCATGTGATATTTGAACAATTATTAATATCCTTACATTCACATCATTAAATAATAATTTGACCCAATAGTACTATTAAATCTCAGTCATCGATTCATTAAATATTAAGAATTTTACGAAAGTATATTTAAGAGAAAATAAATACTAGAAATATCAAACAGATTCGAACGAGCTTTTTCCAAAAAAAAAAAAAAAAAAAAAAAAAAAAAAAAAAAAAATATATATATATAAAACAATTTTAAAACAAACCAGAATAATTGCAATGTCGTGTTGCATTTGCGATGTAAGCGATATTTTTCCGGTAAATAGTGGATGAATGTAGGCGCACGAGACATTGTAAATCGTTGCATTGTTGGATGATAAATAGGTGGATCCTGCTTGGACTTTTAATGCAGTATGGATATTTGAAATCCCAGTTAAACAATGAGCTGCTGTTAAAATATGTCGTTCAGTGAGTATCGTGCCACCGCAAATATGTCGATTATTATCAACTAATCTTAGCGAAATCATGAATGGAAATTCTTCAATGTCAGCGCTTTCTCCGCCAATGATTCGGCTTTTCTTGCCCAAGACTTCTGTAAATATTTTATGTACCATTTAAATCGCAGTAAGAAGTCGCTTTAATATAATCAATTATTAGTGACAGAAAGATAATAAAAGTGCATGTTATCTTTTAAATAATTCATTGGATCGAGTATGAATAATTATGGAGAATAATTATAAATTCGATAATTGTTAAATGGATAGTACATCACGATAAATCGGTAGTTTTATTAAAATCTATCCTTGTACGTTTATAGCGACTTATGCATAAATAATATATTTGAATGAAACCACGGCAAATTGACAAATTAGAGTCATCAGCAACATAATCAAAATTATTATTGATATTAATATGTGTTTGATATAAGCTCCGTACTATAAGTATTTTTTTTCGCGATTAAAATATGCTATGCACAAATATTTAAACTCGATTAATAAATTCGATAATAAAAATCTATAAAACATGATTTTATAATTAACTCGATATTACTTATCTGGATTTTGCAACCTTTCAAAAGATCTTTTTTACCCGCTCACGTGAGTCAAAATTTATAGAAGAGTTTGAATCAATATATGTCAATTAAAATTACTTACAATCAAAATAAAAAATAATAATTTATTCAAATATTTCAATAAGGAAATTTTATCCATAATAATTAATATAATGTTTAAGAATATTAGCTTTCCAAACAACACCTATCCGTTTGGATGTTGACTAATAAATAAATAGTATAAATATTATCTCTTTCAAATAATCTTGTAAATTATTCTTATTTTTAATAATAAAACTATAAGAATCAATCGGTCCTTTGTCTTTGTTTTTGATTCGTTAGAGGATAGAATTCACGATATTTAGCAATTTCTTTCAGCGAGAAAAGGTGAAAAGAGCTCATTATTGCAACTTAAAATATGAACTTCCTACTTCGTAATAATATCTACTAATGACTAAAAATATTGTATAAAAAGCATTTTGTTTAAAAAGAAAGTGATACATAATGATGAACTTGCATAAGGTTTGTGCTTGAGATTATTGAAACTAATACAATTCCATTGTGTTTAAAAATTATTATGTACATTACCGAGGGTTATTTAAGTAATTATATTTCATTGAATAAACTCTTAAGTATAAATTAGAACTTAAATAATTTTTAATTAAATCTTTTGACATTATTATTATGGTAAGAGCGTTCGATATAAAATGTACATAATACGAGATTAATTAAATACAAGATTTCTTATTAAATTCAACGAATTGGAAAAGCTTGTAACTGTATTTTCAATACTCTATATTTTATCAATTAAGCATAATATTAAAAGGACTTTAAACGATTTTTTGACGAAATTTGGCTTTCACCATCGCATACTAAATACTTATATTGATATTAAAAATTTTCACTTTACTAGATGTTGTATAATACTGAAAATTAAAAAAATTAAATGAATTGTTTAAACGGATTGTCCTTAAGACAATTTTTGCACATAAAATAATCTAAAAATATTATGAAACGTTTTAAATGTAAAATAAAAATATAGATAATATACAGTAGAATATTAAATATTTATAATGAATAATAATACAATTGTTATTAGAAGGCCGTCGTTTAATATATATTTTTGTCAAAAAAAAAAAAAAAAAATAAAATAATAATAATGTCTTCAAGATTCCATGAAAAATAATCCAATATTTTATATTTTATTGATAGCTGATATTATATATAAATTACATGTAAAAAATTATGAATTTCTTATTATATGAATTAATCAATTGAATAAGCATATAATTTTAGGAACAGTTGTCATTATGTATGAATGGAATTTTTTTTCTTCTTCTTAACAACATTAAATTTTAAATAAAAATATTGAAATATACAATAAAACATTAACTGTAGTACTATGAAATATTTTATAAGTGTTATGATTGTATTTAAACTTTTTATATATAGCAATTAATTGTTTTTTTTTAAACAAGTAATATAATAGTTATTTATAGTTTCGATAATATTTTAAGCCTAATATAATTTACAAAGTCTTTATAGGAAATTAATATTTATTTAACATAACCATAGCATATGTAACTGTATAAATAATATAATATCAATTCCTATATTCCAAATTCGTATTAAATTTTTAAAAGTAAAATTTACACTTGTTATTTTTAATTGTGTAAGATTTAAATTGTCTCTTTCGACCCTCGACATATCTAAATTTTCGTTCACGACCAATTATGATAATCATTCTTCGAAGCTTCATTGATAATTTTTATTACAAACGATATCTTACAATATATGTGAAAAAATATAATAACAAAACAATTTCAACAAAAAAAAAAATTTCTTTTTTTTATTATCATAAAAAATTGAACGTGTGTTAAATAACAATCTGGCTCAGAAATAAAAAATAGATAAGAAATCAATTAATTTAGGCAATATTGTGTATATAGTTACGTTCTTAGGCTATTCACAGCTGTATCTGTTACAAAACACAGTAATGTATTGGCTAGATTATATAATACAATAAATCTATTATTAGTATAGTTAATTTAGTACAGTGTCTCGTGTTTAGTGGCCAGATAATATTTCATATACAGTAAATATGTAATTTCATTATATAGTAATACATTACATTACATTTTTATTATATATACATATATTACAATTATTACACTTGCGTGTACTAAACTATATAATATATATTATAAGAAAAAAAAAAACTATAATTTAATATATGGTATACTATATGTAGAATATAAAGTTCAACTCAAACATAGACATGTGTAATTAGACATTAAAAAAAAAAAAAAAGAAAAAAAATTACCATTAAAAAAATATGCTTTTTATATATAATATGTATGATTTTATGTTATATCATTGTGTAAAGATATATTTGAATAATTTTGCATGATTATTGTTCTGTTTATCAAACACATTTTCTTAAATATTGAAACATTTTAATTAATCTAGTGTGAGTAAATTTTGTTATTTACTCATACCGATAAAACTAGATTACTACTAACTGAATTTGAAAAATCATTTTTTATTAAAAACTAAATAAATTGTTAATTAATATAAATAATGCTGATATGATTTATATTGTAAGACTAGAATTTTATAATCGAATTTTATGATACAAATTTAAATAGAAAGAAGAAAGCAGTTCAATATATTATAATTTCGTTAGTTTATTTTTTACGAAGTAACGATGTATTCGTAAACACTTACAATAAACATGTTTATATAAAATTTTATTAAATGAATATGATTTATTGATATATTATTGTGAAAATATATTTTATACACTATTATTTTCTGATTTTTTTTTTTTTTTATATCACATTTAATAATTAATATTATTCGTGGAACATTTGTTAATATCAAAAACTTTATAATATCTATTTCTTACATACATATTAAGATATGTTATTTAACTATTTTTTAAATAAAGAATGTATGCCTGCATGTATTTCATTGTATATTAAATTACTTCATTTGATATATTATGACTTAGTTTAATATATTAAAAAACATTTCAATGCATAATATTTTTGAATGTAAATACTAAAGAAAATATGATTAGAATATTTTTTTAATTAATATGAAAAATTTGATAGGAAGTATAAGTAAAAATTGATACCTATAAATATCGACTACACCATTGATTGGCTTTCAAAGATTCGATACACAAACCTTATCAATATAATTAGTATTCTAAAACAACTATTATGTTTTATTTCAATTATAACAATTTTAATTACAAACCTTAATATCTAATTCTATATTTATACTTCGGATTGTGTCAATTGTGCAAACTTTAAATTAATTATTTTCGAGATTTAAAAAATTAAAATTTTATATATATTTTTTTTTTAATTGAAACAATAAATACAACCTACCAATACTTAATGTTAAACTTAAACATAAGAAAAGTTGAAGATTCATTTTTTAAATTAACAATAAATTCAACAAAACATAACCTAATTGAACACTTTACTCAGATGTACTTAATTTCTAACTGAAGCATTTATTCTTTATTTTTCTTTTAATATTTAAATAATTACTCATTCTTGTATTGAATGCATTATCCAATTATAAAATGTTTACTCAAATAAATATTAGCAAATACAAAATATTAAATAATATGATTCGAAAAAACTTTTAGTATACTAATCATGAAAACTTAAATGTATTAATAGTAAGATAAATTACTATTTACATTTTTTATACAATTTACTGAAGTCATATCTTAAACTAATTCAAAAATATTGATTTTATCTTATTACATAATATGTATATATATATATATATTGAATGTAATTTTATATCCGTTCAAAATTATTATTTAAAACCTTTGGAAATTTTTCTCTTTATTTAAATTACCCGCGTAAAATTAAGATTAATTTTTAATTTTAATTTATAAAGTAAGCAAATTTGTACTAAATATTTAAGTGTTTGTCAATAAGTAAAAGTTATCTAATAATCATATCTGTAAAATAAAAATATTTCTAAATAATATGAAATTATTTAATACATTTAATGCTTTTATAATTGTAATTTTAAGTTTATAATATGTTTTGAAATGTACGTTAACAAAAAAAAATTTAATTTTTTATGATTCATTAGCATTATTCACATCTATAAGATGCAAAATTATTATAACATCGTTTTAAATATAATATTAACATAAGAGCCGTTAATAATATCGATTAAATTAATTTTCTAAAAGCTTAATATTTATTAAATTTACTAAGAAATATATTAAATTGAATTTTTAATAGAGCAATGATATTATGAGAAAAAGTATTTAATGCAAATACAACATTTCAATACTTTGCAATCAAAAATATAAATTATTTTATCAAGCGAGTATAAGAGTGATCAAATTAAATTTATTATTCAAAGAAATATGGAAATTTCATTTTTATCTTTACATCTGCTTAAAAAAGCAAATGAATGAATAAAACATTACCATATCTGACAAAACTTGAAGTTGTCAAATAAATAAGATAAAAGTGTTTCAAATTATATATTGAATAAAGTTTATTAGTAAAATAACATCTTTATAAGGAATATTTATATCTTTTCATTGTTTGATTGATTAATTCTGTTATTGTTATTGATTTGCAATAAATATAAAAATATTTGTTTTATGGAATGGGGTTGATAATTGAAATATAAGAATGTTCGACATTCAAGCAGTCATATACCAAACTTAAGTTGTTATTTAATAAATACGACAGAAATTATTACAAAAAATATATATTAAAGAGAGGTATATATATTTTATATATTAACATTGAAATTCTAAATAATATCTTGCTCATTTTTTATAAAATTGTTTAAATTATCATCTCAATATTAGATAGTTCAAATTCTTAATATTATCATCGACATAAAATGAAGTATGACTGTTTATTAATTTCTTTAATAGAAATTGCACATTAAAACGGAATCGAGAATCAATTTCTTAATTAAAATTATAAAATTATCTTAAAGAATAAAATTAAATTAACAATTAATTAAGTGAAACAATTATATTTATCCAATGATTGTAATAACTATTAAATAATATGAAAAATCAATTTGAATTATTAAAAACAAATTTTAGCACATATTTCTCATATATTCTTATAATCATCATATACGCCGAAAAATAAATAAAAATTGAAATTTAATAAAAGAAATTCAATAATAAAAATATCTAATTGTGGTCTGTACAAATGTACTATTTTTGGCAATAAATAAGTTTAAAAGTAATGAAATTTATTATAGGGTTTTCATTCATTTACGAAACAAATATCAATATTTTTATCTTCAATTACATATATATTTATATTTAATTTTTAATTATTAAACACTAGGAAAATAAATTCTTTTATCCAGAATAAAATAAAGAGTTATTAATATATTATGAATTTCTTCTAATAATAAAAAGATAAGTTAATTGTGATATCTCATTTATAATATGTAATATTGAATTAAAAAAATTCGTGTGATTTATATACACATATAATAATTTATAAATTTCGTGATTTAAATATTTAATTTTTTAGGTTATATATTATAAAGATTTTTTAAAAAAAAAATTCGTATTTAATAATATATCTTATTTATAAAGTAATAATATATATATAAGACGATTAAATAATGTATATTATTATAAATTATATACAATACACGTAGTTCTCAAGAACTTTTCTTTTTATTATTATTACAGATTATAATTAATTGAAGGTTTCTATTTCATATGAATCATCCAATAATCTAACATAGTATAATAACATTTACATTCACTTCGATAAAAAGAAAAAGCTCATTTTCGCAAAAATAAATACAAAAAAATTGAATACCATTATGAGATATGAATTTATTACATTATAATGTTATAATTTATAACAAAACAAAATTTTAAAAACAAATTTATTCAGATGTCATGAAATTATTGAATAACGTGATTGATTTAGTTCTAATAATAAGTTATAACAATTAGTTGTGATAAAATTTCATATAAAAATATACTAAATTTATTATTAAATAGTAAAAATAATAAAATATTTAGTCGAAATTTTAGTGACGTAATTGACAGTTCGTAAATACTTTAATATATTGGGATGTAATAAATTATATAATACTTTATTTATGACTTGCACAGTGGTTTATCTATCATTAATTATTATTTAAGAATATTACTATAATTTTAACTAAAATGTAAATCAAACAATATGTGAGAGTGATTTAACCATGTAAGATTTTACTATTTAAATGGATATTTAATATTGTGAAATTTTGTTATCCAGCGCCTTAATAATCCATAGTAATTTTTTCAAAATATAATTCTTACTTATAATTAATTATTTATAATGTCATATTTAAATAATTCATAAATTAGTTTTGATTCCCAATTACTATTAATATATTAATTCGTATATTCACATTAATTATATTATTTATACATGACTTAATGTATTCTTAATTCAAATCGCTTTTATCTCTAAATTATATCATTTTCTACAAAACCTTGTCTAAAGTTTTCGACAATTTCGTTATAAAGATTTTGAAAACCAGTAAAGCTTGAAAATATAAATGTAATATAATTTAAATATAAATGCCCTTGTATAAATATTTTAAAAAATATTAAGATAAAGTGCATAAAAAATATAAGAAAATAAGCCGAAAATAGATATCATTCCAAAACATGAAAGAATACGAAATCTAAATATCATTAATTTGATTAATATATATATATATATATATATTATCACGTCCGATATAAGTTAATAGGAACATTTATATCAATTTTATACAATGTTTAATTGTAATTTAAACGAGCCACCATTAAATGATTATCCGAGCAATATAGCGGAAATTGTATAAAGTATGTCAAAAAAAAAAAAAAAAATAAATAAATAAATAAATAAATAAAAATAAAAAAAAAAAATAAAAACTGTAGATTATCAATCTGTAATGTGTTTGTCGAATAATAGATACGAATTAAATTAAAAATAAAGTTCACAACATGTACAAGTAACATGTGATTGTTGTGAGTTTAATAAGCTGGATAATACGCTAAAACAACATCGTACTTCCCCTACGATCAAGTGTCGCGACTATTGAAAAGTATTCGACAAGCTCTGCTTTAAGAGTCCAGTTTCGTTTGCGCAAACTTTTATGCTCAGGATTATAAGTAAATATGGTAATCACTAACGGACTATTCTATTATTTAAATTTAAAGACAACTAAATTCAAGTAGTTCTCCATCAATTCAAATACTTTTCATCCATCTAATAAATTCTACATTACAATTATCAATATATGCGATAATAATACCCATTGCATTGGGAAATATTCATCGTCACTTATTACAGGAACACAAACACTTAACTTATAATAAAGTATTTATTTATTCAAAGGTTGTAATCTCCCTTCTTCTTTTACGAAAATAGCTGTTTTTATAATAGAATGTTTATTCAACTACTATTTTAGAAAATACTGTAGTTCTTCATCACAATCTTTTTATTATTATTATTATCATTATCATCGTCATCGTCAATATTTTATATATTAATATAATTTTTTAACGTACGGGTAGAAAATATATTAGATTACTATATATTATAATATTTATAATTTATATTAGCTTCATTTAAAAGCGAAATTTTTTTAGTTTAAACAGTCTTATACTTAAATTTTGTTAATTACTTACAAAAAAAAATTAAAGATTAAAAATAAAATATATATGTAGTATTTCTTAATAAATTTTTAATTCTAGTATACATACTTATATATATATATATATAAATATAAAAAAAAATTATATATATATATATATATAATGAAAATAAATATCATCCTCAGCACAATTTATATAAGTGATATGATAAATTTAATATAAGATAAATATCACTTTGTTTTTTTTTTTAATTTTATTCAAAGTAATTTATCAGATTAAAATATTTCGTATCTGCTTAATGCTAATACAATATTTTTCCACGAATGTATTTCTTTTACGCAGCTTTGGCCCTACCTTTTTTTTATTATTATAAGTTATTTTTATGCATTATGTAATTGAGTTATACAGGTATGTAAAGCCATTTATCAATATTACATGTAACATATATGAATCTACAATCTTTCCTATAACATTTTTTTTTTTTTTAATATTCGTGTTATAGAATCATAGACATACTGTGTTAAAGCACAATTATTATTTTCGTAACAATCGTTTACTATTGTTAATTATTATGAAAATTAAATTTTTCTAATTGATATGTAATTTGAATACAATGTTCAACCGCATTCATTCCTATTTTTCTATTTATAATGGTAATATTTATGGAAAATAGGCGTTATCTTCAAGCTTTATAGAAAGATTATTAGTATTGATAAGATCCGAAAATATAAATTAAAGGGAACGTAATTTAATTCCTAAAATATTCTTACTCGAAATATAATTTTGTCAATTTTTAAAATTAGCCTATGCGATAAAATGAAGCTTAATTGTTTTATTGTTTCAATCCAAAAGTACTTGTATATTAGATTTATTTTTATTATAAATGAACACTAACATTTAATAAAAATCATATTTTCACTTACATTTTCGAATTAATGAAAAAATTAATAATATTCTAAATCAGTTTACATTATAAATTTTTAATTAACACGCGTGTTTACTATCATTTATAATAAATCATTGTCATTTATGGTTTTTCATATTGTAGATAATTAAATTTATAATTAAATTTAAAAGGGATATATTAATATTATAATATTAGATTTGACACAGTTGTTAATTTGAAAAAAATCATCAGATTTAATTACCAGAAAAATATTTTAATAATTCTTAATTATCAGAAAGTACTGTTGTGTAATTCTATATTCTCGATTTTTCACTCAAAGTGATATTAATTATAGTTTGAAACCACAAGAATATATTACTCAAAATTTGATTTATTGATTCAAATGAAAAGCCGTACATTTTGCTTTTGAAAATGAACAACCCATTAATTTAAATAAAAATAATAAAAGATAAGAGCTTTAGTAGGTTTTAAATATACAGCGGCGCTAGATTTCATCCAAATCTTTTATTTACGTTCTTTACGTTCTTTCATAATATTCACAAGATTTTTGTGTATAGACGTCTGGGTCTGGAGTCGTGTAAACACGTCGTCTTTGATAAAATTAAAGCGATATTTTTGGTATTATAATTACGACTCGTATAATCCAAGCTTTTGTAGTGCGCGTCCTTTTTTTTTATTTTTTTTTTTTTTTTATTTTTATTGAACAAATATATTTTTTGTAATTTTTATATATAAATTTGTGTGTATACATTGTTTATTTTATATTATTATTCGAAACATATCGTGGAAGTTAGATAATAATTTATTAACATAGAATAAAATAAAACTTAGAAGTATTGGGGAAAGTTTAAGCATTAAATAGTCAATAAAACTTATGCATATCATCATTCTCTTGTAACAATGTCTTTAAGTGCAAATAATATAAGTAATTTTTAATTTTAATTTCATGGGAATATAATAATCAATTAAGGTGGGCGTATATACAAATTTATCTATTTTTTAATAGTAATACGAATTTTGAAAGCTTTAAATATGTTTCATTAAATGGTTAAATGAAAATTATTCAGTCAACTTTTATTACTCGCAAACATAATCGGCATTCAATTATAAAATTATTTATGAATACTTGAGTAATACAAATAGTTTAATCTAATTAATAGGCATTGTTAATTTATAAAAATGTGTTTATCCTTCAAATTTAATTGCTCAAAATTTGACCATCTGTTTTAAGTTTTACATTATTTTACAGTTATAATTAATTATTTTCAATGACTCTTTATTCAGCAAATCATAAATAATGTATATCATTCTTTTATATTGAAAGATTAAAATTTGTAAATTAAGCTTTTATTAAATATTATTATTTGATTAGCATAAAGAACGTACAAATTTATATGTGATAAGAATTTATTTTAAATTTACAGAATTTTAAATCGCATTAAAAACTTCGATCTTCCATAAAATTTTAATTATACTTCGATATTTTTTAAAAATTAATATTTCTAATATGCAACTCAAAATATGTCTCTTTTTATTTCAATTTATATTGTTACGTAAGTAAAATATTTACCTTTCTTTACTATAATTGTATTTATCATAATTATTTTTACAATATTATAAATGTAAATTTATATGCAGATCCTGATAATTATATAAATGCAAAGGCTTTGGTTGGACAGTCTGTTCAACAAATACAGACAAATGAATATCTTTATATTGCATTGATTACAACGGTAATTGGAGAATCGTATCATATAACTCATGATGTAGCGTGTACAGGAACATTAATTACTCCTGTATACGTCATAACTACCGAAAGTTGCTTAAAAAATAGATCACCCGTTCAAATCCAAGTTTTCCTAGGATCTACCGATATTAATAATTGCACAATATACTTTACAAGCTGGTGGGTAACGTACGACACGTGGGCTCTTTACAATAATATAATGGTCACAACTCACGGCCATGATGTAACAATGCTGCGAGTAAGTAGTTATTTATTCTACTATACGAACTATATTATAAGAAGAAAAAAAAAGATAATTTTGAAAACTCTATATTGTGTATGATAAATGTTATTTTCTCATTTTAAAGATATATCGTTTCTTTCTGTCTGACAATAATATTAATGTGCATTAGCGAGCTCTGTTGTCTGCATGTATTTGTTTAGAAATTAAAAAACAAAATTACAATTACCTTAATCGATGAATCTGCCCCCCCCCCTTTTTAGTTGGAAACAGAAGTACTTGATGTTCAGCCGGCAGTTATTGCAACTGTGAGAAAAGAAGATTTATTTGGATTAAGGGTTGATTTGGCTGGTTGGCCTCAACCATCCTTAACTCGATCTTTCAATATAAAGGAAAAGGCCAATATTAAAATTATATCGGATGACGTATGTGTGCAAAAACTTCTAGTATTTAATAGACGTCCAAATTTTCAGGATAATTTGTTCTGTACCTTCACAGATCCATATGTACTTATGTCCAATGTAAGTGTATTTTATTATGTTTTCAATTATAATTTTCAACTCTAATGCTTGCTTTAACAGTTAATACGATGATAAGTAAGTATATGAATAGAATAAGAGTTTCTCGAATTTTGCATCATTTAGTAAAAGTAAATCATAATTAATATAATTCTTCATCTTAATGCAAAGGAATTTAGTGCCCGTATATATAATAATAACAACTACCATGTATATCGGAAACGTGCTGCTAAGTAATAATAAAATATAAAAAGTATAAATTTGAATTATTAAAGAAATATAAAGTTGAATAGAATGTATGATATACAGTATAGCGAAACAATATAATGTATAATATTATCAAAATTATGTGAAAAGAAATTATTGATATTTGCACGGTTTTTTGCTGTCTGAAGAATGTTAGAACATCAATTTTTCACAGAACTGTGTGATAATTAAAATTATATAATATATCATCTACAACTAGCTTGATAGTTCAATAAAAAATGACCGTTAGTTTTTGTTTAATAATCGACATTCTTATACAACCACCACGATTATTCTATGCAAAATAAAACTTTACTATGAACTTGTCGTTTCAATTTAATATCAATTGAGGTGTGAATTGAGAAATAATTAAATATTTAAATTTGAAAATCTTATATATATTACTGGAGATTATTTAAGCCTATAATTTGAAGAATGATTTAGAATCATAAAATATTTAATCTAAAATAATAATTTTTTGTTTTGATTTTGCCTTAACTTAGTTGGAGGATTAATTAATAAAACTTCTTATAACTAAAATTTTTTTAAAAGTTACAATCCATATGTATTTTGATAAGTAGGAAGAAAAAAAAAATAGAACGTATTGTTATATAAAGTTTATGAAAATTAAATAATTTTCTAATTTTGTAATAAATCTCTAAATATGCTTTGATTTACAGGTAGATAGTGGCGGTCCAGTTTTGCATGATAATAAAATTATCGGTGTCAATAAAAAAACATATCCAGCAACAGAACCGGAAGTAGATCCAAGGAAAGTGAATATTCATTTCAATTTGGGATATTATTTAGGTTTCATACATGATATTATATCCAAATGTTAAGAAATGAATTACATTTGTCAAAAGAAATAATTAAATCAACGAATAAAACCATCTGACAATCATATTTGTCATACTTGATACAGCTATAACTTTTAAAAAGGATATGATATTCTATAAAATATATACTTTTATTCAATCATCAAGTAATAAAATGTTTAAATTTGTGTAAGAACACTTTTAAGAATCATATTAATTTTTTAATGCATTCGTTTACATATGTATACATATATATATATATATATATATATACCAAGTTTATAGCGGATTGTTTAATAATAGATGAAACAGTATATTATTCATTATAAGAATGTGAATAATGAGATTAAGAAAATGTTCAGAAATACAGTAATCTTGGCTTATAAATTTGTTTTCACTTATTAAGTATACTCATAAATGAAATATTACATATGAAATTTGAATCACTTAATCCTCAGATACAACATTTGTGCGGTAATTTGTATTCGTTGAACAATAGCAGAGTAAGATAAATGTAAATAACATGAAAATCTATTAAATAATGTGTTTCACTGCTTACATACTTTTTCATTTAATTATAATAAATCTTAATTTAATGTTGAAATATATAAAATTAATTTAAAAAATTGTTTATTTTGAAAAAAATAATTCTTACTCAAAATATACATGAAGCATATATTTGTTTTAAGTTTTAAATTTTGTTCAAGATAGTTTAAAGTTTTTTATTTAATAATGTTTAATTTGCATTTCAATGCCTTTGGTATATTATCGAATTTATGTCTTTAACGGTTTATTTCTCATATGTAAATATGTAATATATTCAAACTAAGTTAGTTTTATTTTCTTGTGATATGATAGTGGCATAGATTAGACAATAGTCAGTTAGAGAATAATTTTCAGATATTGTACCAATAAATATTATATTAAACATTGTATAAGATTGAAAGAATAAATTGTTAGAGTCATCAATGCTCAAAATACGGAGGTAAAATAAAGAAGAAAAATTCATAAAGATCACACTTCCAAAATTAAAGTAAGATATAATTTTTCTCTGATATCATTAATACTTTCATATCTCCTTATTTCATTTCCTATTAATGGATTGATTTTTTACATAAACGATGGGATTTCTCATATCTACATAATATATTTGTGTATGTGAATCTTATTTTATTATAAATTCGTAGATATAAAACGGAAAGATAAAAAATCAATAATGTATTTAAAGATCATCTATGCATTGATAATATTATGTTAATAATATCTTTAATATTAAAAATAAACTTAAGATACGTATTAAGATATTATTAAATCAAATGTTTCTATATAAATTGTCATATATTTATAATATTATATTAATTTTCGTATAATATTGCGTTAATTTTATTTGTCCCCTTAGTTACATATGTTACAACATGTATTACAGGAATAATTGGATTGTAATTGATAAATACCATTCAATGAAAATGAATCAAACAATATTTCCTAAGAACAATAATTATACATAAAAATTGCATAATTTAGATGTTAAATGATAGAGTATGCTTAAACAATAAAGAAATTTAGATATTACGAGTTTTATTTTAGCTAATATTACTTCTTCGTATACAATTTTTTTTTCTGCTTATAACGAATGACAATTCGGTAAATATCAATTATAAAATAATTATTCTGATTGTTTGTCGTATTTATAATATTATAGTGGTTAAATTTATTTTTAATATACCAATATCATAATTATATATATATATATATATATATATGTATGTATATATATATATATATATATATATATATATATATATATATATATATATATGTATGTATATTTGTTTAATTTACGTATTAAAATATATAATAAAGAAAATTAAAAAGTAATTGAATTCATAATTATACTATAATAGCGTATTTAAAATACTTATGTTTTCTAAATTTAGTATATATTTATGAGATTAGAAGAGAAGAAAAGAAAATCCTAGATCATAATACATTCTATAATGTATATTTCTATTAAAAATAGTATACATTAATAATGTTAATATAAATCGATAATATTTATTATTTATTATCTGTCTATACATAGAAATATAACGATTATGCTAATCATACGTTATATTATAGAGATAAACGTATTTATGAAAAATTGTAATCAAATGTATGTGACAAAACATAAATGACACAAAACAACCTTTCGTAGGAAAATTTCACGTCCACTTGTATTTTCTACTATTTTTCCTATCTAAAGTTCATATAAATTCTATTACTCATATTAAATTTCTTTGTAAAAATTAACTTTTCTCATAATTGTACATTCGCTGATTTGTCAATTAATTAATTTCACGCTTAGAACAATGATTTTTTATCCTACAAGAAAAATTATAACGCATAAAAATTTGATGTCGTAGACTGTTCTGGCGTATCTATATTCATGATTAAACTTTCTGCTTATGTTTAAATAAGAATATGCATATTAATATATGAATGGATTAATAATTTAATAATATTTTACGATTTTTGCGTAGTTTGTAATGTGGAATAATAACATACATTAGCTCCGCATATATTCCGTGAAGAATATTTTCTTATATTATATTCTCTATCGCTTCAGTAATTCCTCATTATATTAATATACTGTAAATTAATCTAAATCATCCGACAATACTACATAAAGCGTATGTTTGTGGAATTTATTTTCTTTATTGTGTAAACAAATCAAAACAAACAATCAAATAGTATGTGTATTAAAAAAAAAAAAAAAAAAAAATTTATATTTAACTGATAAATAATAATATTCTTAAAGCTATAAATTAACAAATTATTATAATTTTTCAATGAATGGAAGGGTTTTTTTTTTTTTATACATATATAAATATTGCTTATACGAAATGTTGACTATTCTTATCTGATTGGGTTTCTTAACACAACATGTTTTAACATATTTACATAATATAAATATATCATCGTCTGTTTAGTAATATCATTGATAATGTTTAAAAAAAAAAAAAAAAAAAAAAAAATGGTGTACTTGTGAACTGAAATAAATTAATTAAAATAATTTGCCAAATTTACGATGCTGTTGTTAAATTAACTTTACTTTTACGCTTGTTTGTCATCGTCAATTATATTTGCATTTAATAAAATAATACTTAAAATTAATTTTATTATATTACGTTTGTAACTATATAATAGTATTTTTTAATAAAATACTTATACGTCAATTGAATCGTTAACACTTATCGTTAACTATTTTATTATAAGTATAGTATTATTATTATTTCAGCATGAAGCTGAAATTTATTCTTTTCCTCTGGCAGTGCATATTACTCTGTAAGTATTGCAAATATATTTAATATTTTCTAATCGTAATAAATGATAAATAATTCTGAGACTGATAACAATTTCTATTTAAATGACTAATTTCTTCAAACGGCACGTTTTTTATTTTAGGCGATCTGCACGTTTCTGTCCACTCGGTACCCGCAACTGGACCAAACATAAGACCAACCGTGGAATATGAATTTCCATTTGTCGTATTTATTTCAACACCCCCTAATATGCAGCAGTATAACATTAATTCCTTCTTTTGCACGGGATCGCTTATTTCTTTCCGAGATGTTATAACTGCGGAACATTGTCTGACAAACAAGCAACTGAAGGATGTGGAAATAAATGCAGGATCTCACGATATACGTCGTACCACCACATATTATCCGGAATGGTGGTTATCCTATGAAACGTGGTGTCAGCATAAAGAACGGGCAGTTGAATATCCAAGAAACTCAATTCTCACAATCATTAGGGTAAATCGCAATTCGCACGTTAAATTTAAAATCGCACATATAACGTTAAGAACGAAATTATAAATATTTGGTACTTTAGAAATCTTCCATTCAGCGTACCAACAGTAATATTTACATGAAATTGTGTATAAGCAATTTTTCTCGATTTTGGAAAAGCGATAAACCCGATGTAAAATATTTTTACAAAATTTTCAGTTAAACGATACTGTATCTAATGCACAACCGGCGCGTATATTGTACACGCCAAAGCAAAATCTGGTCGATAAGGATGTAGTATTGGTAACTTGGGGTAGGGGAAATACTGGTCGAATTCCCCTGATATCGGAAACTGGTACAGCAAAAGTTCTAACGGATGATCATTGCTCAAATCAGTATTATACACTTCGTAGACGGCATCTTGTTGTTTACGAGACGCTTTTTTGCACTGCAGCAGATCCATTCTTAATAGTTGACATAGTAAGTATTGATTTATAATATAGTATAGTATAAAAATAAAATAGTAAACTGGTTGAACAATAACATTTTTGTTCTCAACTGCTGTCATTATAATTATTTATGACATGCAAATATGCTTGTAATTTAAAGAGAAATGATCGTCATTGATGGAATTATTTTAATAAATAGAATTTTTAGAGCTAACACTTTTCTACTAAAGATGATATGGTAGAAAAAAATTTGACTGAAAAACAGTATTGTACATTTACAAATTGAATGCATCTAGTGAGATGAAAAAAAAAAAAAAAAAAAAATTATGTAATAGTGTTGGCTCTTGACAAATTTGTACTAATAATCTATTTAATAAAAACGAAATCTTTATCTGAATATGAAAAAGAAAGAGATTCACATTATAATGTAATATTGATACAAGATTTTTTATGTAAATCATTTTTGAAGATGATTTCTTTTATTAACTTTTGTTATTCGAGACCTTTAATTATTCAATTATAATGATTAAGACTTTATGATTCGTTATTTTACCACAAAGTTCGTAAATAATTATTAAATTACGCTAATATTGCTCTATTTCTTGTACTTTTATTTGTTGAATATTTTCGTAAATATTACGATATTTCTTGTTGGTATGAAAATTCTTATGCATTTTAATAAATATGTGTCTATAATATTTTAAGAGGTATGATCGAAACTTGCCAATGTACATTAATAGAAATCAAATCGATTACTTAATCATTAGTCAAATTTATGATGATTATATAATATAAATTTTCATACAAAATATCTCAACAAAAAAAAAAAAAAAAATGAACAAAGAATTTAACTCCCCACAAGCAATTACATATTATATATAATTAAGTATATAATTATTGTTCATATATATAAATTGTGTTAATATAAATTTTTAATATAACGTTTATTTTTAGGGTGACGCTGGTAGTCCAGTTTTGTATCAAAATCAGATTGTTGGTGTTACTAGAGGAGCGACACCACGAAATATGGACAGCACAACTTTAATGAATGTTCACTATAACATCCATTACTTCCGGCAATTTATCACGGACGTTTTAATCGACAACTTCTAAATAAAAAAATATTAGAAAATAATATCAACAAATGTACACTGTGTTTTATTTGCGTGCAAGTTTATTAAATATAATTCTTATAATGGAATTTCCAAGCACATTTCCATTGTAAAGAGAAGCTAATTAGTAAAATATACATTTTTTTTTTTTAAGTTTTTTACTCGAACTATATATTTTTCCCTTTCGATATATTTAATTGTATAAAATAATGCACGCAGAAGTTACAATGTTGAAATTTTGTAAGTAAACGAGTTATTGTTTTGACGTTAATTTTTATGCAATGCATCCAATGATTTGTAAATCAAGTTTAGAATATTCCGATATTGTAATATTACTGTATATTGTAGTATTTAATTTCATTTTAATCGTTTCATGCCAAATTAAGTAAACAATGTAAAAATAATTTATTATCTTTTGAAGTATTTATTTCCTCAGTATGTCTAATAATGAAGAAAAATCCTTTTCTTTTCATCTCATTGATTTTCTCAACATAATATATCCATTTTATATAACTTGATTTTATAAAATTTTTACCGTATCTAATAAATTTTCTATGTCCACAATAAATGTGTACTTTGAATAATTTACTTACAGAATTATCAGGCATATTAAAGTACCTATATAAAAAAATAATTATTATTATAATAAATGTCAGTAAGGAAAATAATTCAAATATATTAAAGAGTGTGATAAAGAATGCAAAAGAATGCAAAAGAATGCCAAAGGATTGCAAAGGATTCGATAGTTTCATTCACTTACATTTGCACTTTATTTTTAAGAATATTATTTTTAAGAAAATGTGCTTTTAAAAATTAATCTGTAAATAGTTTGCAATTAATTTTTAAATAATAAATAATATTGCAATAAATAAATTCTAATCCTTCGATCTTACGGTGAATGTAATAAAATTTAAGATAACGTCAACATTGGCGCATACGTCGAGTGCATTTGCTCTACGCGAAATAACAATTAATTTTCATTAAACGTTATCAAGTTTGAAAGCAATTTATTTATTAAAATAGGCAACGAAGTCACATAATTAAAATAAGATTAATTTTTTTTATAATGACAAAAACTAAAAGACATTTTAAATGAAAACCGCAATTTAATTTAATCGTTTTAATAATTAAATTCAATATAGTGATATCCGACTATAAAAGGATCTAAATTTTAATGACTATAAAGCTGATCTTTATAAAATCAACACGCTTTATTAAATTATAACAAGTAGTCATTTTCTTATACTTACTCAAACAATCCAATATCTGAATAAATAAATAATCCTTATCCAGTTCTATGAAAAATATTTTAAATACCAATATAATTGGTTGGAAGAGTAATTCTTTTGGAATATCCGTTAAATTCGTTGAACTCTCGATGATATCAAATTAATCTTTTCTCTATTATTTATTCGATATTGTATTTAATTTATATCGTTCATAAAACAGTTCGAATTAATTTAGTAATGAAAATATTTCCGTCATATATAGACATTATAGCTCTCCAATAAAATTTTCGTCCTTATTTTCATAAGACATTTTTAATACTTGAATCAATAATTATTCATTTCTTAATTTCGACTTCATAGCCTTTAATTTATAATACAATTTCATGTTTAAGAAACTAATTAAAAAAGTATTGGAACGCTCAATGTCATTGATTGTTAACGATTTATATTTTTTCAGAATGCAATTTGAAATAAAATAAATCGTAATAACAGCGATATAATAACCAAAAAAATGTTACTTTTCAGGATATTTTTTCATTAACAATGTACACAATTAAAATGTTGTCAACTCATTATAGATATGTTCTTTTAAGCAATGAAAAAAATATATTAATAAGGTTAATACAAAACATCGACGTATCACTACATGGAATTTTCTTTTAAATGACCGCGATAGAAAAGTATTAATTACAATAATGGATATTGTTCATGTGTAAGTGATATAATATTTTTCTTCTTTCAACATTGCCCAAGACATAATTTTATTAATAAAAATGTATACTTTTAATCGAGAAAATATGAAATAATCAATTTACAAAAAGTAATTTATTATTTATTCCAATTAAAATTGTTCGATAAGAATAGATAATAAAATAATAATGTTATAATAACCTCACAAATACATTCACGATTTCTAAATAAGAATATAATATATATTCTGTTTTATTTTATTTTACAAATTAATAAGAAAATTGTTAGATATTTTCGTGACACATTGCTTACATATGCTAGTCTATAAACAATTAGCAGATATAAAGAGTAAATCGCTGTTATGAATGAAAATAAATAGAAACTTCCATAAGGATGGGCTTTTGAAGTAATGCATTCTTCGAGAGATAAAAGTACAAATCAGAGATTGATTTTTAATGGCTAATTAGGAGAGATCTGCTCTTGGTAAGATGTATAATGAAAATTCGACAGCAGTCGGCGTTTTAAAACTATAAGTTATTTTAAAGTTTTAATGTGTGAGTATTTGTAAGTAATATTTATATCGTCAGAATTTCTAAATATTGTTGCATTGTAGCTACCTATTCATCTTTATTCATTACATATTTCTGATTATAGATATTATTATTTACTTTTAATAATATATATGTATAAACAATATTTGAAAAATCTATGTAAACATATTAATTATATCGTTAATTTTTATAATGTGCACTACCTTTGATACGGCATTTGGTACCGTATGTTACATATAAATAATTGGATTATGATTAAAGAAATATAAATATTAATAATAAAATCCCATATTTAAAATACGAATAAAAATATTATAGTCTCTTATACGAAAATAAAACATAAGATTTGAAAAGAACATTGAAAATATCGGAAGATAAATGCGAATTATAATGTCTCATAATTAACAATATATTTGTATTATTATTGTTATTATACGTAATTTGTTATTCGTATAATTCAAATAAATTAAAATCTCGCCTCCTTCTTTGTTAGTCAATTAACGTTTATTTGAAGGAAGAAAGAACTCTCTGTCTTTTTGACGTTAACTGCTTATTTGTAAAATATGTTGTGAAATTATATGTAAAATAAAATATTTAAAATTATTACCAAAAAAAAAATCCTATTCATTAATATTATAAAAAACAAAATTACAATCAAACTAAAATGATCAATATTTGAAATATTTGTGCATAGAAACATCAATGTAAATATGGAAAAAAACTTATATCACGTTTAGATCATTTATAAATATTTGAAAATAAAATATTAAATTATGATAAGTATTATAACGTTATAGCATAATTAACTAAAATATTTAGAAATCCATTTAAATTTACTACTCGATTAAGCAATGAATTTTTACGGATATATTTTATTGATAATTAATTTCATAACAACAATAACAACAACAACCAAAATAATAATAATAATGATAATAATAATAATAATAATAATAATAATAATAATAATAATAGCAATAATAATAATAATAATAATTTACGTACTGTACGACAATTTAATATTGAGTAGAAGCATTTCCATAAGTGATCGGCTTTGGAATCACATTGAAAACCAACACCCATTTTCATTTTTTTATTACATTCAATCATAATTTTATTTGTTTATTCATTTGTATTATTTGTAGATTTATTGTTATAGTATTTAAGTAGCTAAAGTCGTCGCTAACAAACATAATATTATTAAAACTTGGTCTATTTTACGCTACTAATAATAGCCCGCAAATACGTTCATGGGTAAACTTATTGAGATATCAAAGCATCATCGAACAATTTAACTAAACAGTTAAACACATTGTACACTAATACACATCTAACAATGGATTTAACTTCAACATCAAATATTTTTTTGGTCAATTGCATAAACGAATTTTAGATATCGCTAAACAAATTTGTAAACTTTATAATATGACGGCTCATGATAAATTATCTGTGCGCGTGTGCGTTTGCACGTAGGCAAATAAATGGAATCGGTAAGGAAGCAGAATTTTCCGCCGGACGGCGGAAGGAAGAGAATTGTGCGAAGACTGAATCATCCACTGGCTCTACTACGGCTTAGTGGATAAATTCATAATACAGTATAATAGATGTTTCTTAGAAAGGGCGAGAAAAGGAGATGCCTCGAAAAATATGAGCATGCCCTTCGTATTTCTCGTAGCGTATCAAGCAGTACCGTAGATACCTACTTTATCGGATTCAACTAGGCAAATCTCTTAGATCGACCCCGAGACGAAATATGTACAGCTTCCTCGTATCTATCATTATTTGGATTCGCGCTATTATTTATTACCCCCGCATTTGCGCACGCGCGTGTCGATACACAATTTTATTTTTATTTCATTTTTGTTATTGTTAGTGTAGACGTAGATTGAGACTATTGATTAAACCACTATCTGTTAATTATCTTAAATAAGCAGCTAGTAAGCAACAAATTTTCTTTCGTCACGGAAAACTTTATTCCTTATGTGAATATAATAATATTATTGAGATTATTTGAATATCTCGCAACATTGAAAAATAACAAAAAAAAAAAAAAAAGGAAAATTAATTGTTTTCATGAAAATGTGTTTTTTTATTATTAAAATGCTTATATTTTACATGATCTATCATAAGCTCTTAAATGATTGTATTATCACAACATTTTTTTCCAATAGAAACTATTGATTTTACGTAAATGAATACAATAAATATAAATGTTATTGAAATTTATCGATCAGAATAAAACGACTCAATTACAATATTATTCCTTATTAGGAGTAACAGCTTTTTAATCGGATAAGCAATTATGTTTTATTCCCCCCTCTCCCCCCTCCCTCTCCCATTAATCGATAATAATTCTATTATATTAATAATAAATAAATTATCACTACGTATTAATCTTCTTGTTTTTTTTTTTATTAAACTATCATGCTCGTGCTCGTACGTGCAATTTATTCTAATATTGTAAGATAATTATTTCTTGCATATTACGTAACATATAGTTGAATACCAGAGATACTCCCGTGTTTCGATCCTTAAACACAAAATTAATGAAATTGCAGCTACACAATTTCAACCCAGTAATTAACAATTAAGACTTTATATTGGAATTACGAGTCTTTATTAAGAAAAAGAAAAAAAACTAATCAAAAAACTAAATG